TCGGTTATCTGAGAGCTTGGGGCAAGTTTGGCTGTCGCAGTAGGGCCAAAAAGGCGGGATTGGCGCCCGTAGCCGGGGGCTGCTGGGGAGTTACTTGTACAGATGACGGTTGCGGTTGAGGCTGAGGGACAGTCGGTTGACTTGGCTGAGGTGTCTGGGATGTTTTAGTGGGCTGCAATGGCTCTTGCAGCAGCGAAAGGTCTGCCATCGCCCCAGTCAGAGTTGGCTGGGCTTGAGTTTGCGTGACGGTCATGGACGAAGGCGTAGTTGAGCTCGCGGACACTTTGGGATGTTTCACCTCCCAGGCACTGTCTTCAAAGCCTTTCGGTTCGTCCTTTTCCCGTGCTGGTGAGGACACCTGTGAGGATTCTTTCCCAGCTGACGATGCTGGTTTTGAAGGGTCATTCAACGAAAATGCCTTCGGATCAACGACATCGCTAGTTTGAACGGGGGGAGCGGGTCGACCTTTGCGTGTATTATTTCGGAGGGCGCCGCCAGGGCCAGAGAACAAGCCGCCAGCTTCTTCTCCGTTGCCAATGACCTCTTCACCCCCAAAGCTAACGTTTCGAGCCTTCGATTTTCTATTATATTTATCATCAAGATATCTCATGACTCGTAAGGTGTCACCTTCTTTGAGTCCCAGGGTTCGCAGGGTATCTGCTGTGATATCTGGAAGCACACTTTCATCCATCGAATCTTTTGCAAAGTTGTGCGCATACCGCTCACAAAGATGAGGGCCAACGCCCGCCTTCAGGAAAAAGTCAAACCAATCGTAATCTGGCTCTTTTTTGATCGACGCGCCTATAGGCTTGGATTTCTCTTGAGGCATTTGGCTGCGACGCCGGATATCCGATAGAGGCTTATCCTCATCAAGCGACTCACCAGTGGCTCTCTCAACATATTCCAAGTCTTCGATGGACATTTTGGCCACTGGTACAGCAATTTTTACTCCGTTTTGCTTGTGAAGGTGTATTTTTCCGTCAGTGAGACCGATAAATTCGGCAACAACCGTAAATGTACCCGTTCGATCGGTCCATTTCCTCGTTTTCGAGGAATCCGGCTCTGTTCAACGATCAGAATGGACAAATAGTCCCATAGATGGAAGATGATGACTTACTTTGTTTTGAAGATCGGCTATCACGTTTGTGGCGCTGCGAACGTTTGTTACCATCATCATGTATAAATAAACTGCTGGCTCTATTTGGAAGTTTCATGCCGGACCCTACCTCTCCGGAACCAGAATCATTCCTCCTAGACTTTCGAGCAGACTCCCTCGCTAAACGTTCCTCCTCACGACGGTTCTGTTCAACGACCGGAAGACCGGCATTCACTCCGCGGTAGCTTGACTCTTCAGGTGTAGCGACTCCTGTAAGCTCGATGTAGCTACTGGGAACAACTCCTTCTTGTCCATTCTTCATCCGCCTCACCATCCACCATTCTTCTGACTTCGTATCATCAAGGATGATGACTTCATCCCCAACAGCTACAGTGACCTCATCATCTCCCTGAGCCATAAAATCGTATAGGATTTGACCCTTCTTCTTTCCTCCAGTAGTGCCGGCCGCGATGACTTCCCTCAAACCCTCAGCCCTATACCCTCCTGCGATTTCACCCAAAGCCGACACAATTTCCTGGGCCGTGTCTTTGGCTCCTGCATGAAAGTCAACGCTCTTGCTCGGCCGCACGAGGTCCAAAAAGACGTGTTTGCCCTCAATAGAGTAGTGCGTAAGTCTGTCTGCAGTCCACTCCTGGTTGGGGCCATCTTCCGAGTTCTCTGGGGAAATAAAAATGGTCCCCGTAGCAATATTGATACCAAGAGTTGTGGGCATTTTTTTCCGCTTTCCCATAATGGAAATCATTTCGCTGATATTATATATATGATACCCAGACGGGGAAACGGCGGATGGGCTATGGAGCTTCTCACGGTCCCGGACATCAATCCGGCTATACGGTGGAGAAGGCCTAATGCCAGGGGAGGTCTCTTCCCTCAGGGAGGTATACTGAGGACGAGGAGCGGGGACCTCGCGTCGAGTAGGATACGGATCCTCTTCCGGGGGCGATATTGGTTCTCGTGGTGGGCTAGCGCGGGAGATAGGCCGTTGCGGAAGCGCCGGAGGAGGGCTTTCGTCTTCATCGGACGCCTGCGGAGTTAATGCTGTAGGTGGAGATTGAGATAGTTCGACTGGGGGTGCTGGGACAGCTCTAGTGTGTGCTGAAGATGAGGACGCTTGTTGCTTGTTGAGAATCCCTGCTAAGGCAGCCGCGGGGCTTTCAATTGGGCTAGAGACAGAGTGTGGTGTCAGAATACCCTCAGACTCAGTTTCACGATTGTCAGTCCCCTCCGGTAAGGGCATAGGAGGTGGAGAGGAGGTCGTAGCCGGTTCTGTCTCTTCCGCTAATTCGATATAATTCGAGGGCGCAAATCCGTATTCTGAATTCATTTGAACCAGTGTCCAATCAGGATCAGAGATATCAAAAACTTTGAGTTCCGCATCTTCAGGAAACGACACTTCCTCATCTGTTTGTCGGGTGTAATCATAGAGTGAACGCGCAGTTCGAATAGGACGCGCCTATCGCATACACTACTGTTAGCACCTACTTTATCGCATAGAAAGCCGTACAAGGCCCAGGCGGATAGCCGTTAAAAGATATCAAAACTAGGGGAACTGCTGAGGGGAATAAAAGTTACCTCTTCGACGTAATTATTGGGCACTAGACCGATAGGCTCTTCGTCGTCCTCATCGGTGGCCTTTTTCTTTGCTTTCCACCAGCCATCGTCCGAGGCCTTGTCAAGAATGTACAGGAGATCCCCTTCGGATATCTCGAGTTCGTTCTCCGCCTGCGGCTTATAGTCGTATATAGCAGTGTATATCCCCGCAAAACCCATCTTCCTCCGCCTCCCGAGATGTCGTCAAGACGAGGACTACGCTCCGAACTGCTTGTGTGGCTCGAGTGTGTTGATCGTAGAAAGCAAAACCGTCCTGTGCGGCGGGCTTGACCCCGTTTACGTAACGTAGCGAGGTACGTCTGGAGGTACCTGAGTCGGGGTACTGAAGTATGCAACTATGCTCAGGCCGTCTGATATCGCCAAGGAGCCGTGAACGAGGAAGAAGGTTCGATGTTATCCGTTGTAAGCACCCGACCGTCGCTGGGAGGGAAGACGCCGAGCTGAGATATTGTTTGGCTGAGCGGAACCAAGAATCCTATGCATGACAAAATCTATGGAGCAATGTGGAGTACGACGTTCCTCATGGGATTGTTGGGCGTAAGACGAGCGTTGAAATAAGAGATTGATGAAGGAAGACAGTGCCAGGAGATCGAGTAAGCTAATGCAGGATCTGTATGACCGTGGAAGTCAATTATGTCGTGCGGAGGAGGAGGAGGAGGAGGTGAAGCTGAGAGTCGTCGTGGTCGTTGCTTGGAGGCACCTGGAAGGAGAGATGATTGTCAAGGTTGCTGGCCGACGATACGCATTACGGAAACATGATTACGGATACAGCCCAGGGCTCAGAATATCTCAGCGTGCTTGCTTCGTTCTTGGGGAGCCGGTTATGAAATATACGGTAACAAACGACTATTCCGTATCACTTTCTGACTAAGCACTCTGCCAACGCCACGGCAGCCCCTTTTATGAGCCAGGATGCCTGATTCTGCTTGTTCATCATTCTACAAATCTATCAATGTTCTAATTTTTCAAAATGTGCTGCTGTTGCTTGGTTTACGGTTTAAGGGATATTAAATGTCCAGTCAAACAAGTGCTGGGTTGTGTTGTTAGACTATTGCACTGCTGCATGAGTACACAACCATATGCATGTAGGTGAACGGTGACGGGCCGCAATGAGTGATGGATATATGTCTGTCACAGTTCAATGCAAAGAAGAAGATCATCAATGAGTAATCATACATAGGCCCTGGGTTCAAGAGCAAATACACAATAGTGAGGTGACAGGTAAGCGCATTGACAATCTCAGAGTTCTTCCTTGTATGTTTCATCGCTCCCGTTTTCAGCGGCGTCTGTATCCTCATCTGCCCGCGCTTTGGCTTGCTTCTTTTCTTGTTTCCCCTGTCTCTTAGAGTCCTTTTGGTCTTTGCCTGGTTTCGGCGTGCTGTCACTCTCCTCGTCGTCATCCGCCTCAATGATTCCGCGTAGTCCCCTTTGTCCATTCGCATCCACTACCTCCATTTTCCAATCTTTGCCACCTGCTATTTCTTCCAACTGTTTCTTGAGGGCCTCAATCTTTTCCGGATCTAGATTATACTTCTTGAGCTCCTCCTTCGATAGTCGCTGTATCTCTCCCTTTTCACTTATTGCGACAACTTCAATTTTCTCCTCTCCAATAGATACAACCCTACCCTTTTCGATTCTCCTTCCTTCTTTGCCCACAAGTTTCATTGCTCCAACCTCAATATCTCCGATGATTGGCAAAGCGTCCGAAGCAGATTCACTAAGTGCTTGCTGTAATCGTGCCCGTTTTCTATCTTCCCACTCAGGAACCAGCCCAGGGGAAATAATTTCTAGGCATTTGATGGCATTGGGCTCATCTTCCCGGGGAGGTTGAAACGCTATATCGTTGCAAAGACGAGGCGTATAAATCACCATCAAGTATGAGCAGGTCGTCACCTCTTTAATCCAGCCAATGTGATCAGTCGACTGCGGGTGGCAATGGAATTGAACTTCGATCTTCCGATTTCTTCCCGTGAGGTCGCAGGGTGTTCCGTCTTCAAGATACTGGACAAGGTACCGGGAGTCCCCGTCTGCTTGACGCGTCGCAATCTCCGTCGTAGATTTTTTGCGACTCTCGCGTTTTCCGTCAGGTTTCGCTTTGCGGAACCTGCCGAGTACGTACGACTGCGTAGTTGGATCCTCGGTAGGAGGATAAACCGGCGCGCCACTACCGGGTAATAAAGCATGAAATTGGCGGACCTGGTTCATGTAGCAAAAGGAATATGACCACCAGCCGGCCGCATAGTACATGCAACGTCCTTCCATATCTCGGAGTAGCTCTAGTCCCCTATCCGTCGCTTTTGCCAATTCCTTTTCTTGGTCTGCATCAGATCTACCTTCTGAGCTAGTTGTATTGTTGGCAGGGGTATGAGTTCTAGGGATGCCGCAAAGGAACCTCTGGCCACTTATGACCATTTCTTCATAGGTTTCCATCGAGCCATCGGTTTCAGGCAGCGAAACTGGTTCACCGGTATTCTCCCCTTTGGGCCCATCGCGGGATAGCACCTGTTGTGACAGCTCAGTATAACCCTGCTGGCCGGCGACAGACGAAGATGTCGGTGAGTGGGATGGCGGAGAGGATGACGCGCCCTGGGCTCTGGCGATCAAAGATTCCTGTAATTTTGGATAGGCATCATCCGCTAGAACGTATTCGTCGGGGAAGTGTATCTCATACTAATTCGCGCACACAAGGTAATCAGGTCAGCAACCGTCCGCGAGATGCAGGAAGATACACGGCCCAGGATAAACCATCAACACACCTGCGGAAATCCAAGCACATCGTCCTGAACACGAAAGGGTTTCTCCCCGAATGCTCCAACAGCCGCATACGCTATGAAGGCTGCTAGCGATGCGCGTGTGCGGCGGCCCATAATGTGTAGTGTTCGAATTGTAATGAGAATGATCTGACTCGCTAGGGACGCAGAGACCACAACGTTCGTAGGGTCAGGAGGCGAGACTATTGTCCAGAAGGAGCCTGGGTTGCTTCATAGATTCTCTGTTCTCTTTGGCGACATTGGTTGGTACTGCACATCCCGATGGCAACGGAAACCATAAGCCAGAGCAAGCTAGCTATGTAATATGGTTATATGGGGAGTTGGAATGTATAAGCATTTTTAGTCCTCAGACCATGCGAATCCTCGTTATCTATTTATCTATTGCCACAGGTAGCAATGCGTAGTTCCTCAAGAGTTAACAGCAAACAAGGGTTGCGAATTCCATGTGGCCTCTTCGGAACCAGTGCCGCTTTAACTAGACAAGTCTACTCCGTTACTACACCGTTGCATGACAATCAAGTCGCATTAACTATACGAGTAGAAAAGAGGATTTATTTTCCATGTCTACATACATTTGCCGACATCAGATTCATGAAGCTACAGATAAATTGGTATCATAAATAAAGCAAGCACTTTTATCCCATTCTCTTCCCAATCTCACTCTCCCAGCCACGCGCTCTTTCGAAGCCATTGGATGAACTATGGAAGTCTCGCATGGCCTGATAGACCTCTTCCTGGGAATTCAGTACAAACGGGCCGTATTGGATGACTTGCTGGTCAAGCGGCTGACCCGCGACAAGAAGGAACCGGGAATCCTCACGGGCGTCCGGCGAAGTGGAAGCATGAACAAAATCTCCTTGTTGGTCAAACACAACGTTGTGGTACTGGGGAACAGTTTTCGAAAGCGAGGAAGCAGACGATGGCTTCGCAGTCGTGTCAGAGGCATTTCCAAAGGTAATTTCCCCAAGCAAGGTGTAGGCAAACGCGTTCCAGCCCTTGGGCAATGCTTGTGTGACCTTGCCGCCTGGCTTGAGCGTGATATCAAAAATCCAAACCGGTGTATAGGCGAGGTCGCGTACGGAATCCACTCCGTGCGATTGGCCTGATATCACCTTGATTATCGCTTTTCCATCGTCCTCGGTGACAGTGGGGATTTCTGAAGCGGAGAGATCCCGGTATCTAGGCTCACACATCTTCAACTTCGCCGGCAGGTCTACCCACAGCTGCATGCCAACATTGGGGCTTCCGTCCGGGTTTTGGCGGGGCATTTCCGCGTGCATGATGCCTCGCCCCGCGGTCATGAACTGTAGATCGCCAGGCCCGATCGTGCCTTTATTCCCGGCAAAGTCCTCGTGGTCGACACCCCCGGAGAGAATATAGGTGATAGTTTCTTGTCCACGATGAGGATGGTCCGGAAACCCGGCGCCTTTTCCAATGGTGAAATGGTCGAGCATCAAAAAGGGACTCAGGTTTCTGAGCTTTGGCGTACCAATGGACCGGCGTACCCGTGCGCCAGCCCCCTCTGATTGTTCAATGGCAAGGAATGCCTGTCGGATGGCGCGAGGAATCGACATTTCTGCAGGTGCCGTGCTGTGAAGTGACGAAGAGTTCGAGTCTTGACTTTGCGAAATACAGTTGCTCTGGAGATAACAAATCGGATTGGGCAATGTGAAATTGGATGTCAACAGCTGGATTTGATCTGAGAAGAGAACTATTCCAAATGAGAAGATGCAAATGAGCAGCGAGATGATCAGCCCGGTAGTCCCGACTGAACGCATTTATATGTTCAGGGCAAAGTGCGAGCGAAGCTTGCGGAATGCTCTAGAGAGTTTTTCTAATCATGACCAAGAGCTCTGTAAAGACATTGGACTTATTATAAGCAACGGCACGAGAGGCAACCGAATTACAGAAGCGTTAATAATATTCATCGCTGCTGTTATTCTACACTGGTTGCCACTGATGATTAGAAGTTGATTGTCAGCATTTTGTAAGCCTTTCTGTGTTATTCATCCTTGACTAAGGGTCACCCCTTGGCAGACGACCAACGGGAACTATGAGAGTTGCACAAGTTGACTGTTGGTGTGAGCAATGCAATGCTCCTGGACAGAGCATGGAATCAATTTACTGGTCCTTGCAATTGTGGTGCTTTTGTATAACTAACACATTACTAACTACAGAGTTGCCTATGCGAAAGGAAAAGACAGCTTCCAACCGAACTTTTGCTGAGATACATATCATTCGGGCCTATAGGAAACAACCTTGCCCCATGTATCAGCCGTTCCCCAGATGCCACGGCGGAGGCAGCTCAATTGCACAATCTGCGAGTTGTCCACGAAAAGGTTGACGTCGACGCCGAACTCGCGTACATACCAGTTGAATACCGATGGATCCGCAGCTATCAAGGCGTGAGCAGGGGCTAACTAATGGCTCGGTGTCCAGGGAAGCGCACCTTCAAACATAACCCTTTCCGGAGGTAATTCCTTCATTATTGCGGAGGCGACATCTGTCCGCCAGCTTTTGACATTCTCTGTGATGCCTTCGCTCTCAATCATGAGTCGCTCGACTCCAGCGTCGAGGAACTTCCGGCCAAGATTGATTAGTTTACCTGGATCGCTGGTACCAATGGCTTCGAGTTCTTCGGCGGACGTGTCTAATGAGAATCAGAAACGCGGACATGACCCTGAAGCTACACATCCCAATAGAAAGGCATACCTCCCCCAGCTCCAAATTGTATACCCAATTCCGGCTTGGCCTTAAGTCCATACGAATGTACTTTGTCAACGAGCCGCAGCCAATCATCATCGGGAAACGAAAGGAAGCCTGCCGATAGCTCTATCACATCGAACCTAGTATCCCGCCTAGGTCAGTCACGAAGGGCTCCGTTGGGAAACGAATCTTTTAACCGACCCAAGATCTTTGCACTTTGCAAAATATTTTTCGAGGACCGATGCATTATCTGGGTGGGTTAGGAGGTGTTCTGCCCAGCCACCCTACTTTCCTATCAGCAGCGGCTCGAAACCCAGTCGGGAGCGAACCTACAGTCGAAACATAAACGCTGTTTTCATGTGCCAAATCGATCATTTCACGCAATTTGTTTTCCTCGAAGAGGGAGAACGAGCCTGGCCCGATCGATGTCAGCTGCTGCGCCAGGCACATCCGTCCCATTTTGAGCGGAAACTAACCTCCGGAGAATTTGAGCCCGTCAACATATTCGCCCATTCTGCTCATTCCAGATCTCGATGTCAGCCTCGCGAGACCCAGAGTAACGTGGATTTTAAAAAGAAAGAACCTTGCAAGCTGGTCCGTTACTCTCACGTTTCGAGAATATCAGAGAGATATCTCTTCCCCATTACCTAAACCGCAAGTGGTTCATCCGTTAGCAAATTGGCCCAAGGTTGATGGAGTAATCCGTACAGCATAGTAAGGACCCCGGATTTCAGTCACTCCCTTGCTACGGGGTTTTGACGGTAAGCGGTTTGACCTCGCAAAGCCCAGGCCATTCGCTTTATCTTGGATCAAGGGCTTTACTTGGTTCCATCGGTGTGATGAAGTAGTGAAATTGGATACTCCATAACGACGCTTGGTAGCATTGCAAGGCAGCGGTGCCGGAAAGGCCGTGTTGAACTGATGCTGCCAGTCTTGGTCTTGCTACGACCGGCATTTTCGCGTGAAGAATAAAAAGAATGGCCTCCCAATGGACTATCAGCGATCTCGTCTGATCAATTGCTAGCAAATACTACACAAGGATGATGGATTGATAAGAAGCCCATAAACAGTTCTTCGTGCACCAGCCAATTCTCTAGATAACGGGTGTGACGTCATCACCACGCTGCTGAGATTCTGAGAACAAGGTTGAAGTGCGTTGAATTTTGTTGCATCTTGTGCTCTAATAACTAGCCAACTATACCCCGTGCAACAGTGTGCCACAATGCACAATCCGTGAATGTAGACAGTTGCATCTCTACTTAATTCGACGGCGTGTCCCGCTATCTGCTGCCCCGGGATTCGGAGTGCCTAGTCGCCGAACGCGCGCATCGTGAGCTTGCATTATTTCCATTCTATCCGCGCGGGTGCAACTAGAGTGGAGCAATGATGTCCTGGCCCGGCGACGATCCACGTCGGAATCCCGGTCGACAAGGTTGGCCTGTGTCGCTCCACTGCAGTCGCTGCTATCCAAGGTTTCCTCGAATTCGATGCCGAGTTTCTCGTTTTCATCCCTGAGATGCGATGGGATGATGGAGGGCTGCCAGTGGACCACATATGTCCTCTTCTGCTCGCAGGAAGCTTGTGCCCCAGCGTCGCGTGCTCGCCTTCCTTCTGACTGGCCGATCCTCACACGGACATGCGGTCATCACAACTGTCCAACCCAAAGCTCCAACTGGCCAGGATGGCAGCCTCCATTGCCCGTGATCAGTACCAAGCATGGCACCAGCAAGCAGTTTGCTTCTGATCCCCCATCTTGCTGTACTGTTACTTCGTTTTATCAGGCGGTTTCGGTGACTGCTCGCTGGGTATCCCCACTGTGCTGATACCGAATCCATTCATCGGACTTCAAGGCCTTTCCGCCCTTCCGGCTGCTCCGGGTCGGGGTCCTCGTTTTTTCCCTCCCTGAAGGAAGCTCATCTTTTTTTCTGGTCCAGGAACGACTTCACTTCCCGAAGTCTTATTAATTTTTCTTTTTTCTGTTTGATGCTGATATCTTCCTGGCTTCCATCCGCTCCTTCTTCCACTTGAGATATATACCCCCCTCCAAAAGAAAAAACATTGACTGCGCACTGCACCAGGTAGCTCTCGCAGCTCTCTTGGATGCCAACTGTTGTCGGATATGGCCGTGGGAGCTTTCCTGGAGCCGTTGGTGGTCGTGACCCTCCTCTTTGGCGGAACATGGATCAATCGCGAAAGAGATGTTGCGCGCTCATATTCACGAACTAGCAGCCTCTCCAACAGTCCCCGCGAGAGCCCGCTCTCAGATGAAGAGTCAGGGCCACCGCAGCCACGTCTACACACGACCGACGTCAAATCCCCTTGTTTGACTGGGGGGCAACCCCGTTCGCAGTCGCCCTCGCTACTTGCAGGCCATGAACAGTGTTGGAGGCAACGGACCATTGGCCTTTTCTCCTGGAGAAAGGAGGTAATCACGCCGAATACCGCAGTATTTAGAAATCGTCTGTTGAGCAGACTGCTTCATAATTTTCCGTTCCTGGTAGAATGCTGGTACTGGGCTCTGGTATATTGGGTACGTCCTTTCTCAGGTGCTCTGGTTAAATGGAGGCTTAGCTAACGCGTGGTACCATCTCGGGTGCAGATATATCAGCTGGGGCGGGCTTTTACGGCGGTTACGCTCCAGGAGGGCACAGTGGATGTTGCCAGGCGGCACGCTCTTCAGATCATTGAATTGGAAGAAAATCTACACATCTTCTGGGAGATTGGGATACAGAAATACTTTCTGGAACGGCCTTTGTTATTGACATGGATCAATTGGACATACTCGTTCATCCATATCCCCGGCACAATCGCGTTTCTCGTCTGGCTCTATTACTATAATATCACCAGCAATCGCTGCCAGGAACGGCGGATGTGTGGTCCGGACAGCAATACGGGCGGGTCGCCTGCTGGTCCGGGGCTTTATCAGGCCCGACGGCGGACCATGGCTGTCTGTAATCTGCTCGCCTTTGTGGTCTTCACGCTTTGGCCTTGCATGCCGCCTCGCCTTCTGAGCGACGAATCACTGGATGGCCCGATTGGCGAAATTGCTCGAAGTTACGGATTTGTGGACACCGTGCATGGAGCTGGCGGCGCACGCAGTGTGTGGACGCAGAACAAGTTCTGCAACCAGTATGGTAAGTACCGTCCATTTGCCTTCTCTCGATGCTTCTTTTCCCAATCATACTTGCTGACCAAGCTCCTGGCCAGCGGCGATGCCCTCGCTTCACTTTGGATATTCATTGATGATCGGTCTAACCATCCTGACGATTCCTTTGGCTCCTCAGCACCGCCGTTCAAAAACTCTCTGTCTCCCACTAGTCAGCAAATTCCTCCCCGAAGCCAAACTCCACTTGCCGTCATGGCGCCGACTAGCTTGCCTTGTCGTTGGATTCGCGTATCCGTTCACAATCTTGGTCGCAATTGTAGCCACCGCAAACCATTTCATCCTTGATGCCGTGGCAGGTGCAATTGTTTGCGGTGTCGGCTGGTGGGGTAACTCCATTCTCCTGAACTTGCTTCCCCTCGAAGATTATTTCCTCTGGGCATTGCGGATTCACAAGCCGGAGCACCGCACTCTCGATGTGAAGAGAGCGTTGTATGGCGATGTTGGCCACAACGCTGTAACAGTGGGAGTAGTTACTCAGTGATGCGTCACCTCGAAAGATTTCAGCTGCTCTGTGACTCAGTACTAACTCTTTAGAAACAGCATTAAGCCTTTGCTGCTTTGCGTAGGGCATGATTTATGATATGCATGGCACTGTTGTCGGTTTCTTACTTTGCATATAGTAATTTTTAATTCGCTGCTGGAGGCCTGCGGAGCGCCTGGATGTCCTTTAGGCTGTAACTAATATCGATTACTTAGTTCATCAAATTGTCGTCACTCATGAGTTAGTTATAGACACAGACACTACTGCCTGGTCGATAAGCAATCTACCATGCGAGAGTGACATGGGCAACCCAACCCCATTTGGCTATCATTCCATCCAGCACAACAATGTTGAGATGGATATGGGGAGCAGAGCTGAGGGAGCCTTCACTGGCACGCCAACTGATTAGTAGCGAATAATAAAGTGGATTTCCAGGTGCAGCTAACGGGCTAATTGAATCAAGACTACAAAGTAAACCGCTGTCCAGCCTTGACTGATTCACGGTGGGCTTCATGTAACTATGCCAGAAGACATTGAATATGCACTTGGTTAAACGGTTTGCGATTTAGATCAGTCATCTGCAGGTGTGGACACAAGACCCATAGTTTGACAGCCTTTTGCCTCAACTGTGTTGGAAACTGCTTTTCCCATCTACTTCGGCCATCTTCGCAAGGACGAGTGGTGACATAGTTACCTTGTGAGTAGTCAGTTTGTCTTCAGATCTCCCAACTTATTAAAACATCTTTGACTGTCAAGCTCTAGGTGAAGCCAGGAATTCCGACCTGGTCTCTTATGCTATCCCCGCCTCTTCGCTTTTCCCTGTGGGCGATCTCCATCAGCACTTGAATCATTGATACCCACGGCTGGCACTGTTCTTTTTGACACCTTGAGATACCCTGGAGAGCTATTGTACTTGGGGACTTCTACACCTGGATGCCATTGTGTGCGCTGGTTGATTTGACTCTGGTTTTATCTCCACGTCCTTGAGCTTTCTGAGTGAGAAAGGCCTCAAACGCGAGTGAACAGTCATATTTGCTTTACTTTGCCATCCAGGCACCTCTTCAGCCCTTTTCAGCTGTTGCCTGTGAACCTCAGCTCACGGAGCTTCCAAGGAGAAATTGTTCGCGTGTGTGGCTGCAGCCTGCTCAGACAGACGCGTTCCGGGTCGAAAATCGCGTCAAACGCCACCTAATCCAAGTTCTTGAATGTGCTACGAGAGACAATTATTTGATATCCCCTGAAAATATTTATTGTGCCCGTGTGCAATTGTGTGCGGGTGGTGCTGCTCCCCGGAGGAACTGATTTCTGTGGGCACCTCCCCTAAACTTTTCCCACGCGTTGCCTGTCTCACGCCACGGTTCTTTCGCGCACCAAAAGCCAATCCACAACAGAACTCCAACCACCAAAACCAACAATCACACCCACTCCAACCATCATCTTCACCCATCGCCACCTGTGTCCTGGGCATTTATTCTTTGCTCACTCCTTTGCATCTGTTGCACGCCATGGCTGAGGAGGTTAATCCTGCCACCCCAAAGGCTGGGGACTCATCAAAGGATGATGCTTCCCAACCGGCTGAGGTCACCACCAAGTCCCCAGAAGCAGCACACGCCGACCAAGGCACTGAGAACTCTCCCAAGGCAGACGAGGATATGACAGGTGCGTCTTTACCTGCTTAATTGAAAGCTTTTTTGCCCTTCACCGTTGACTAACTGTGCTCAGGCAACGATTCACCGACCGCTACCGGCGACAAGACACAACCTCCAGAGACCACCCAAGAGTCTAAGCCCGCCGAGTCGGGGTCACAAGAACCAGAACCTACAAATGACAAAGCTGAGGGTAGTGAGGCAGGTCCTGTCGGCGAGGACGAACAGCAGAAGTCAGCGGTCAATGGGACCCCTGCGTCCACCAAAAATTCGACCAAACGCAGGTCGACTGGGATTCCGGAGCACCGTTCCAAGAAGCTGAATAAAAAGAAGTCTATGCCCCGCATTACTCATCTCGATGCGCAGCCAGGAGAATACTATTTTGCCCGCCTGAAAAGTTACGCTCCATGGCCATCAATTATTTGCGATGAGGAGATGTTGCCCGAAAGGCTCCTGGCCACTCGCCCTATGTCGGCCAAACTGAAGGATGGCACATACAATGAACATTATCAGGATGGAGGCAAGAAGGTTCATGAACGGACATTTCCAGTCATGTTTTTCCACACCAACGAGTTGTAAGTGGGTTCAAGATCTCATTGATTTGTGAATTATATATACTACACGGCGTGCAAATGTTTTCATTGACTAATCAACCCATTTCAGTGCGTGGATTCCCAACACTGACCTTACTCCACTTAATCCGGAAGACTGCAAGAATGTTCCGGAAAAGGGTAAATCCAAAAGTTTGCTTGCAGCATATCAGGTGGCTGCCGAAGACCATGGTTTTCAGTACTTTAAGGATCTGCTAGCAGACCACCAGCGTGCACTACAGGAAGATGAAGAAGCACGGGAAGAAAAAGCAAAGGCAAAGCGAGAGAAGAAAAAGCGAAAGAGCATGGACGTTGCAGACGAGCTTGAGGATGAGGAAATGGCGGACGAGAGCGCCGCAAAACCGAAGGCCACGAAGAAGCGCAAGAAGGACCTGGAGAGCGAAGGAGAGAGTGACAAGGTAAGGACTCTGCCGTTTCCCTCTGATTTGTTGCGGCTATTGGCGATGTGGCCTCTTGGCGCTACACATCGACTATTCAGGTCATACGGGCAGGTAGGCTAACAGGGATCGACTGGGTGACGCAGCCTTTAAAGACCCCAAAAACAGCCACCAAGCTCAAATTGACTACCCCCAAAGCCCCGGCGAGTGGCGAGACTGGGAAGAAAGGAACCGCTTCCGCTCGAGCTACCAAATCCAAGGGCGCCAGCGCCAAAAAAGGGAAGCAGCCTGCTCCCACTTCTAGCGATGAGGAAGAGGTTGAGGAGGCCCCTAAAGAGCCCGAGCCCGTGGTCAATCCCGCCGAAGCCAAAGCGAAAAGAGAAAAAGAGGGTAAGTTGGTTGAATCCACCACATGCTAAAGGTCGTCTTTTGATGCCATTTTCGGTAGTTTTCTATCTTCGCCATCGGCTCCAAAAAGGGTTCCTTTCACGCGACCAGGCTCCCAAAGAGGAAGAAATGGAAGCCATGTCCAACTACATCACGAAATTAGACTCCTATGACGACCTCGAAATTAGCATCATCCGCAAGACCAAAATCGGCAAGGTTCTCAAGGGCATTATCAAACTGGCTGATATTCCGAAAGAGTCGGAACATGATTCCGCGGCCGCTCTATTGCTCTTTTAAAGAAGTGGAAACATTGGGATGAAACCGAGCAAACGGCTATTGAAAAGAAAGCCAACGGAATGCACAACGAAGTCAATGGCAAGGATGCCAATAAGGCGCCTGCCGTGAATGACACCGACGTGCCCATGCCCGATGCAGATGCGAAAGAGGCGGGAAAAGAGAGTGAAAAAGAGCCAACCCCTGCTGTTGCTGAGAAAGCTAACGAAGCAGAACCAGAAGCCATGGCTACTTGAGCTGGCCTGTACTGCTAGCTGTTTGGTGGATGTCTAAAACATAGCTTCTCCCGCTGAGTCTACTTTATCACAGATATGGGATCTTATGCTCCTTTCATGGTAGGCTATGGCTTTTCTTTGTATGTCTTTTTTGCGTCTGTGAAGGCATTGGCTTTTACCTTCCCTCTTGTAATCTTTGTTCTTTGATTGTGTGGGATGGCTTGCTCTCCGTGTGAATTGCTTTGGGTTCAAATACAAGGGAACCACCATGCTATTGCCTGGGAATGAAAGAATGATTTGTGCATTTCAGTAAACCACATTGTTGTTTTCTTGATTTTTGCTGTTTTTGGGCTTCAAAAGATGTCCGTGGCTCATCGAGATTGGCAAGTATAAAAATTCAATTCAAGTCTGTTCTCTCTCTCAGAATATCTTTTTTTCTTTTTTTTTTTTGCCTTGTACACTGTGTTTTTAGTTGCTTGTTGATCCTGTCCACTTGTGTCTTGCTGGCGTTTCTGATTTCAAGCTTGATTGGATTTATCCTGTGATTTTGTTCATTAGCTTTGGCTTTGCTTCATCCAAACTGGTGACCAGAAGCATTGGAGATAATTGCAATAAAAAATATTTAACTGTCATTGTTTTATTCGTCTGTGGTAGTGCCAATGGTTTTGATGCAATATATTTTTAGTCTGCGGAGCTATTCGAATATCTAGTTTGATTGTGCTATATCTCTTGCCTTGACATGATCGCATATGCTATTGATTTTGAAATGCCATACTTGAAATATGCGCTTCGATTGGTAAATGTGCCTCAGCCTCGAGAGATGGCGTATGCGAAACGGCTTGACCCGCATTTTGGATACATATGCAAGTTATTTCAATGCCAGCAGCATGGAGATGCTGAGCAACGAAAATGTTGGTACATTGACCAACAGAATGTCGGGTGCTACCCTGACGCTGCCGTAGACGACGCTTGGATCCGTTTATTCCTCCATTGTTCCTTTTTAGACAATCGAGCGGTTGGCGTGGAAAAGCGAAGGAGATATGTGAATCCCCATCTTGAGGGTTTGTTTGCTGAGTTGTGACGGAGCTTGACTGAACCGTTTCGCAAAGAAAAATTGAACGTTCAGGCAATTTTCCTACCTACGTTCCCAATTCCCCGGCCAACCACGCTGATAACGACGTCTCCCGAATCTCCTTCGTCAGATGCATCCCTGACGCCCCATCCAGCAGTACCAAATTTGCTAAGATCCCGTGCGAGCTGGACAGTGGATTCGTGGGAAATGATATCTCGGCCGACTTGAAGTCGCCCAACATCCTCCGATCCCATGGCCATAAGGGTCAAGACAGTAGGAGCCCCAGCCAGAGAGACACACCCTCCGTTGGAGATAGTTTCTAGCAACTGGTAGGCGCATTGTTTCCCAATGTCTTCAGGAGGCTGGCCACCTGAGGGAGGAGAGGCCACATCGGCAGAGTATAGGCATCCGGTCGACGATTGAGCCACCAAGGATAGACCAAACCCTATCCCAATCTTTCTTTTGGCGTTGGGATTGTTTTTGTCGGCAGTAGGAACGAGTGCAGCGGACGATACGTCTGAGAAAACATAGACGTCGGAAACTAGTGGATTCAGGATACCTCTGGCAACCTCAATCATTCTCGCATTGTTCGACCCCGACACTCCAGTTGAATACGCGACGCCGCGAATGTTCTTTATCCTTCCGGGATTCAGTAGGTGTAGAGTTTTCGGAAGACGAACTTGATGTCCAAAAACCAGCTGCACTTCCCCTCCGCCACCTCTGCCGTTACGATCGGGATTGGATCTTCGCAGGACACGTAGTTCGATATTGTTGAAAATGCCAAATTGAGAATACAAAGGGAGGATCGCGGTCCTCACGCTGTCAACTGACATGTCGCCGGTGGGAGTTGATGATGTGATGACACCGGGTCCGGTAAAGAGAATGTTGAAAGGAGCTTTGGAGAAAGGCGCCAAAAGGCAGAGAGGTATTAAAAAGTAGCTGACGCCTCGCGTGCATCCCGCGGGAAGCTCATGCTTAATCACTCCCTCCACTCGCACCGCTGCCTGGTGCGCTTCCGGTGATCAGCCCAGGCTTATACACCAAGATCGACCCCGTATATGATATCTCCATGTGCGAGCCATTGGTGACTGCTTCCAAAAGACGTAGAAAAGAGATCTCATAAGGTGCTAGGCCGGGGTTCGTGGGCGACGAGGATCGGATCTGCGAGATGTGCACGGCGCGGCCAGTCAGGGTGGACAGGACAAGGCGATGGGCAAGGTGTTTGTGCGTCGTAAAACGAACAGGCGGCTGAGACGTTGCCATTGCTTTGTCGAGCTCCCGTTGCCTCGTCCGCGTGAAGCTATGGGCCGTTGGTGGAAAAGTTGACGGCAAGCGAAGGACGAGAAGTAGTTTTTGCGGCTTGTCCTTGGCGTGATTGATAAGATAACCAGTCAACTGGAGGGCATCCCGACACTCGACAACCGACTCGGGATTGTCTCCGGGCGAGGGAGATGGTGATATATAGAGTCCTGGAATTGATAGTGATTGATCAAGCACCTGCAGAGCATCAAGAAAAGACTAGCTGGCGGAATGTTGCCTCCCGCGCTGAATCTACCCAAATGGTCAGTCCAACTCGTCCCATCCCCCCGCATCTCGAACCCGCCGTGTCTGCGTGATATACTATGGCAGACAGAGACTCGGTGTACACTCGCATAAAATCTAACCAGTGATGGCTCCAGGCTCGAGCAAAACGCACACCTCCTCCAGCCTCCCATCAATAACTATTGCGTTTACCACCCCTCCTCGCCCGCAACTCAGGGCTACACGGTCATGGTCGTGGGCGGGCCAAACGCCAGGACCGACTATCACATCAACCCCACTCCAGAGTTCTTCTACCAGCACCGTGGCTCCATGCTGCTAAGGACAGTTGACCAGTCAACCACTCCGCCAACCTTCCAGGACATCCCTATTCACGAGGGCTCACTGTTCCTCCTGCCGGCCAACACACCCCATTGCCCGGTTCGATTTGCAGATACAGTGGGCATAGTGCTGGAGATGCCCAGGCCGGAAGACGCAACAGACTGCATGCGGTGGTACTGTAAAGGCTGCGGGGAGATTGTCTGGGAGAAGCGCTTCCGCTGCACGGATCTAGGTACCCAGGTCAAGGCCGTGGTCGAGGAGTTTGCCGCTGATGCTGAGAAGCAAAAATGCAAAGCCTGTGGAGCTGTGCGAAGTGTGAAATATGAGGAAGGCGAAGTCGTCCAGCCGCCTAGAGTAGCGGAATAATATATCTCAATTCCTACAAGTCTGGCAGAGGTTCAGTTTTTGAGTTTGATCCTGCCATCAGCGTTCCCCTATTAAAAATAATAATAAAACAACAAGCAATACAGTCACGAGAAAGGGAGTCTAGATTGAAAAAAGTTGAAGAGTACAAAGCTCATGATGTAATATTGTTTATTCGTCAAATGGACAGTCGATGCTTTCATGCCCATCTCGCTCACACAGCGCGCACCATTTGGTCTCGTCAATGACTCCGGAAGCTTTCCCTGCAATTGGAGTCATCGACGATGGCGGTAACCCTCCTATGCCCTTCAGCCCTTCGAGAACAACATCTCTCCCAGTTCGCTGTGAACTCGGGCTCCCAGAGTTCTTGTGGCTTGAGCCTGGGGTGGCATCGTCGCTGCTTATGGGATGATCATCCGCAGATTGGCTGGGCTGATCATTCGCAGCCTCCTCACTCTTCGTGCCGGCATTTCCTGAACTAAACATGCTGGTGCAGGTGAGGATATCATGCCCGCTGGTCTCACAAATCTCGCACCAGCCAGCGCTCTCTTCATCTGTACTGGAGGAGTGATTGTCGGATTCTTGCATGGTCGGCAGCCGGTGAGGGTCATTCGCATGAATTGGAGAGAAATAGGGGCTGTTACTGGTCGTGGGAGAGTCGCGCCAGTCGTTGGGGACCACAGTGCGGTCAGACAGGGTATGCGAATGGTTAGGCACACTTGTCGCGACAGCATTCCCTCCGGATTTTTGATTCTTTTGGATTTTGAGAGGATTTGTTGTGATGGTGCCACTTCGATTGCGACTGGTTTGGTGACCGTTGGCACGTTGCCTCTCCAGCTCGCGCTCTAGTTCTTCGATTCTGTATGATTTGCGCTCGGAATGTGTTTCAAGCTCCTGGATGCGAGTTTCGAGCTGAGAGGTAAGGCCGTCATCGTGGTCTGTCGTTTTGTTACTGCCTTGAGACATTCTATTCTGCTGGTGCAGTGCATGGTGGGTGGGCTCGCCACGGCTCAGCGAATGTATTATGGCTTTAAGACCTCGTATCTCGTCGTCCTTTTGGTCAATCTCCCTTGAAAGCGGGCGATGCACGCCATCTGGAGAGCCACCCGCGTCCTTGAACACCGCTGCCGATTTCTCTTTTTCCTGCTTCAATTCAAGCCTTGTCCTTTCCACCTCGCCTCGGAGGAACTCCACCTCGCCTCGGGCTTCCGCTTCACCTCTGCGAGCGTCTTCCAGGCCTTCTTCCAGTTCAGAGACAAGTTCTTCGAGTTGCTTGAGCTGTCTCGCTACTGTCTCGACATCCTCGCCACGAGACTGCAGCTCACGGTTTGCTTGCATCAATTCCTCGATCCGCTTCTCATATACTCTTTCAGTTTCTGAAGCGGCGACCTCAAGGGTATCTAGCGTACTTCGGAAATCTGCTCTATGGCTGTCAAATTCTGCGGTAAGAGCGGCAATCCTATCGTTCTTCTCACGGAGCTGCGCTCGGACTTGCAGCGCATCCAAGCCTTCCAACTCCGTGATACTTTTTTGAAATTCAGCCAGGGTCGTAGCTTGGTCCTCTAGTTGCCTATCACGCTCCTGTAACTGATGTTCCAAGTACTTGACTCTTTCCATTAGCTCTTGGTCATCAAATGCTGGCGTCCGCACAAGCTCGCCTCGTTTTACCACGGATGGAGTATTGCTCTCAACGCTGATTCTCGATGGAGGCCGGCTGGAGGGCCGCATAGCCCTATGGGGCGTGCGCGGTCCTCCGTTTCCGGGAGTGAGCTTGGAAAATCCTGACGGGGTTCGCAAGCCCCCGAGGCTCAGTTTGGGCGGAGATGTCGCGACGGGGGCTCTGGGCGATTCTGGACGGGGTAGAGAAGGCCTTCTGAACTTCGGCCTGTTCAACGACGCTGTAGGGTTGGCTACTCCAGGGCCAACAGATCGGCTGAAATTGGTCACCGGCCTCGCGGGCGTCTGTGGTGTTCCAGACAGCCGCTTTGTAACGTACTTCCCATTCATAGGGACAAAAATACCAGAGCCGGGAACGGAGGTATTGAAGTAATGTCGCCCTTCCACATCGCCGTTATTCTTGCCCCTGCCAGCGTGTTCTGGTGCCAACTCGACGCCGGCAAACCGCCCGGGTTTCCCTGCCACAACGCCAACGAATTTCACGGTGCCGTACATACCGCCGGGTACGTTCACAATATCGCCGACCTGGGCCTCGTCGCTGGACGCCATGTTGATTCGTGCTGATCGGGGGCCTGGACGAGGGGGAAGTACAGAGCTTAGTTCTCTGGAATGACGGATAGCGGGCGTTTGACGGAACCAAAAGAAATAACATACCAGGTGTTCAAGAGAGCCGACGTTCAAACTGGCCTAAAGCTAGCGGTGAAACTGTTGCCAACGGTCATAATTCATGCGCAGGGTTGTTGGAGAAGAGAAGAGAGTCGATGCACAGGGGAGAGAAAACTTTTGACGGCAAGTGAGAGATGCCCAATCACCAGACGAGCCAGCCAGCTTCGTGGGCATCGGAGATCAAGAAGCAGCTCGTTGACGCCGGCTGCTTTGGTCGCGCAACGGAGCTGTATAGATGCAGTAAACAACATCAAATAATCTTTCTCCCTGAACCGTGGATCGTTTGAATTGTCGGTACGCAGTAGAGTTGGCTAGTGACAGTTCGTCCACCCGTTCGCGGCTCGACCGTCAATTGCTACTCTCTCAACCTATGTACACGGCTTCATCCTTCACCGAACACGATCTCGAGGCCACTGAGTGCCAGTTCGCACTGCCCTTGACAGCAAGGCGGAAAGTCGCGTGGTCTTCTCCCAGCCACAATCTACAATCCAGCGATTCCCTTGGTCCTCGCACGACTCCTGGTGTCTGCGCCCCGATACGCACTAGACAGAAGCCGCAGTTTCTCGGATTCCAGAGCTCAAGCTGGATTGTCCGATTGCTCATATCCCCTGTTGACATCTTCTCTCCGTTTCACCTACCGCGGTGGCTCTCGTGTCGCCCAATCTCCCAGGTTCGGCGGTCATTACAAGCTAGGTACTCAAGATGGCTCAATACTTCTTCGACCTTCTCTATACCTTTACCGATTGCATGTGCTGTTTTCCGAGCTCCCCGCAGCTGAAAATCAATAACCGCAGCTTCAAGCTTCTCCGTTTACTCGGCGAGGTACGTCCGTCTGGTTGAGCAGCGGTATGTAACTCCCTTGATTTATGCACGTTAACAAGCAACTAGGGCGGGTTTTCTTACGTTTATCTTGTCCAGGACAAGAGTACATCGGAGCTCTTCGCCCTCAAGAAGATCAGGTGCCCTTTCGGCCAGGAATCGGTGTCGCAGGCGCTGAAGGAAGTCGAGGCCTACACTCTATTCACCGGGAATCGGCATATCATCCATTCGATTGATCATTGTGTTGCGACCGAATCGGGCTCGAAATTCCGTTCAGATGGAGGAGATGCAGGATCCAAGACAGTCTACATTCTTCTCCCTTTCTACCAACATGGTAATCTTCAAGACGCTATCAACGCGAATCTCGTCAATCATACTCAGTTTCCCGAAAAGGAACTGATGGTTATGATGCTGGGCGTAGCCAAGGCCCTCAAGGCTATGCATCAGTACCGGATCAACAGCGGCGCAACGCCGGTCAAGAAGGCGAAAATGGTGCGGCGCGAAGGGCAAGAAGCGGACGCATCAAGAAGGAAGATGAGAACAACAAGCGAGTCAGATGACGATACTGAACAAGAGCCGCTGATGGATGGAGAAGTCACTAGAAGCCAGGAAGGAATGGAGGAAGGTGACTATCGACCATATGCCCATCGCGATATTAAGCCAGGTACGCATCGCATTCCCTATCTCCAAACCGATTCAGGATGCTGACAGTATTTCTTTTCCGTCAAAGGAAACATCATGCTCGACAATGATGGAAAGACCCCTATTCTCATGGACTTGGGATCTATGGCCCCCAGCCCGATCGCCATTACATCCCGATCTCTTGCCATTGCCGTCCAAGATACCGCTGCCGAGCACAGCACAATGCCTTACCGCGCACCGGAGCTATTTGACGTCAAAACTGGCTCCATCATAGACACCAAGGTTGACATATGGTCCCTTGGCTGTACTATGTATGCTTGCCTTGTTGGAAAAAGCCCCTTTGAAGCCCGCAGCGAAGAAACAGGAGGTAGCCTCAGCATGTGCGTATTAGGGGGTGATTGGCGATTCCCAGACGAGAAGACAGGGACGGTCAAAGGGAAAGGTAAGCCGCCGTCAGGTGAAGAGTCTGATATGTTGTCAAGGGAGGGTGGCGCTATTAGCCCAGAGGTAAAAGACGTGGTCCGTCGCTGTTTGCGCGTAGAGCCTTCCGAGCGACCAGATATCGACGAACTGATCCAGATTCTAAACCAAACGGTTCAGTCACTTCCCGACGGCACTAACGACGAGCTACCCCCGGGGGTTTAAATCCTTGCCTGCTCTGACGGAGTTTCGAAGCATTCATCCGTTCTAATGAACCTGCAAAAGGATTATTTCTGTACAATGATAGTCTGACATGATACGGTGTTGAGGGTTTTCTCTGCCTTTTTTTTCCCCAGGTGTGACTATGTATCTGATGCCTACCTATTCGCCCCCTCCGACTATGTAACGAGTGTAGATGTGAATTTTATCTCTTCAACGGCAGTTTCGGTATATTCGATAAGAATTTCGGAGAGTTACTGTACGAGGCGGAGTCAGAACTCCCCCTTGATATAGTCCTCCGCGATATGGATATAGTGATATTTTGAAACTCGATTTCGAAGTCTATACATCCATCCTTTTGTAAAAGAAAAACTAGAGATCCCTATGTAGCTGAACAGATGCACGGTAGTGACAAGAAAGAAAAGCCCTTAAACCAACTAGCCGCCAGTCGTCAATTTCCACTCAATTATCGTGTACATGCCGCAGATTATTAGTACCAAAGATTGAATTTTGAAGAGTGATCAAACAACTCGCTGATACACTTATTCTGCTGATTCTTCGTCCTCATCCGCTTCATCCTCATCCATTCCTTCCGCGGCATTAATCTTGAAGCTGGGATCTTGATCCACGCCAACATAGCTGTCGCTCATGAGGTACAGAGTGAGTTCGTGCTCCCCAGGGCTAGGAACAATATATTCAAGCTTGACCTCTAGCTTTCTCCCTATTGCCACTCGCTTAATTGCTAGCAGGCTGTTGGTCTTCTCTTCACCAACAACAAGCCACCAACTTTCCACTTTCTTGCCTGGGTAAAACGGTGCCGAAACGGTGGTATCGGGTTCTTCGTCTTCATCTGCCTCCCGTTCCAATTTGACCTTGATGTACGCGGGTTCCCCAGCGGTAATAGTATCCTCGTCCACTAGCGTGAAGTTGAGATCAATGCTAGGATATTTGTCGTTGGTGAATGCCGCAACCTCAGCAAGTTGTTTGTTGCCAAGTCCAAGGCGTTTGACCAAGCCGGCATAGTCTTTATTCTCCGCAGGGTCCATGGCCTCCATAAACTCGAAAACATCTCGAATCCTACGAGAGTGAGGACAGTTAGTCAGGGGCGAGCAATAATCAAAGCAGGGGGAGTCGACATACTTAAAATCATTGGCAGCCTTGATGGTGTCTGGGTTGAAGTGCGGGATTTGTTTCAATGGGCTATCTCTGTCCCACATGGCTTGTACAATCATCTGCGACATCTCCATAGCATTCATGGCGTTTAAGTGACCTTCGGAAGAAAGCACATCAACGCAAGCGCTAAGAAGGCTGAGTACTCTGCTCAATATAACTTCTTGGTCCTTGCCCAAGTCGATGGGAAGCTGCATCCGTGAGAAGTGCGCCTGTAAAAGGACGAATGCCTTGAAATGAGGAGAATCGTAGGCAGGTTGCGACATCTTAACCGGCACACGATCATATATACGACGGAGGATATGCTCTTCATGGCGCCGAACCTGGATGCTTTCAAACTCGGTTGCAGCTGTAACGATTTCCAGGATACCTTTCAGTTTCGTCCGAGCGCTCAATGATAAGAGGAACGTTTGCATCGTGATGAAAGATATGTTGTAATAAGCCGCAATCATGGCAGCGTTGAGTGGTGAGATGGTGTCATCTTCTTCATCCAAGTCAACAAGGTTTGCTTCTGCCAATTCTTTCAACGTATTCTCGACAATCTCAGACAAGAATGTGCTAAGAGCTTCGTGATCTAGACCACTCAATCCATAATAGCTCGGATTCGCTAATAGCCGTCGATAGAAATAAGTATAAGTCATCCAATCCACAGCATCTTGCGTAGAAGAAATGGTCCTTGTACTTATTTCTGTAACAAAAGCGTCGTGTAAATAGAGTTGTAGATGGCTTTCCATGGGCAAAGCTTCGTTGAGGAACTTCTTATAGTAATCTCTCTTCACCGCAGGAACCATCAAAACACCCTTGCCGCTCTGGTCCTCCAAAGGTCGAGAAGCTTTTCCGAACATTTGAAGAATTTCGCTAATCGGGTAGTCGATATATCTATGTTCTCGGCCGTCAAAGAACTGGGTATTCATGACAATGACAAGATGTGCTGTGAATTCAATTTCCCAACACACGTCCCGTGAGGCTATCATGACTTGAATCGCCCCAATTTTGAACAAGTGAGATACGATGCGTTTGTCGCCCTTGCTGAGTGCTTCATGGTAGTAGCCAATGCCGTGAGATATAGATTCCGCCAAAGCTCGTTCATCAATTCGATCCAACAGGGGTGCAATTTGATCAATTTCAGTATGGAGAAACCGATCTTCAGCATCGTTTGCGATACACGCAGCTACTAGGTCTAAAGCAGTTGAACGCGTCTGTTTACGCGAGGGAACAAATATCAGAGCAGGCTTGGTCGGAGAGAGTTGTAAGATAGCCAAGTAGGCGGGCCTAGCCATTGCAAGCATAAGCGACGGAAAATGAGGGATAGTGAACGACTGAAGGTGTAGTTCGAGAGGCACTGGCCTAGCATGAGGGCTGAAATTGTAGATAGTGTGCTTCTTTGCTCCTAGCCACTCTCCAAGATCACGAGCATTCGAGAGTGGGACGCTCAATCCCACAATGCGAAGGTTATTCTCAGTCTGAAGTGCGATGTAGTGCATTCGAGACACTACCACCTCATACACGTAACCGCCTTGGCCGCCTAGCATATGGAGCTCATCCGCAATGAACAACTCAACTGCCTGAACATTCTTTCGGCGCTGCCATTGCCGGGACAGTACGTCCCATTGAATAGGGGTGGCTAAAACAAGATCTGCCTGATCTAGAATTTTGAGATCAGCTGTGGTCTCCCCGGTAAGCTTCGAGATCGTTTTGGGGCCGTTTATTTTCCGGAATCTACCTTGCCAATCAGCAAGGCGTTGATCAACCAGTTCCTGAAAAGGAGCAATGTAAACCGCCTTCCCATGATTATTTTTAGACCAATGGCGAAGCAAGGCAAACTCGGCACACACAGTCTTCCCGCTGCCAGTAGGCGCCCCGATAAATACGTTGTCATCAGAGTCGAATAACGATTTGAAGACTTGCGTTTGCACTTTGTTAAAATGCTCCCATTTGGGGTATAAATCCAGGTAATTCGGGTCTTTCAAGGCTTTGACCGGTACCCGTTGCATATCTAACAACGGCGTGTGAGGAGGAAATTTCTCGGGAAGAATTAATTTTTGGAAAGCAACGGCAATCTTGGTTTCTGAGTGCATCCAGCGATCAGAAACCAGCGAAATGAAGTAATTAGGAGGCATTGGCTCAGTGATAGGAACGGTGAACTCGACTAAATGTTCATTCATTTCGGCGGTTGCAAACTCCCTGCGAAGAACAAACTGGTCGTAAAAGAGTATCTCTTCTCCATCGCAGTCCTCGACAACGACCCAGAAGCTCTCCGCGTTACCATGCAATGCATCATCCCAAACGAAATTCGGCGTTATCGTAAGCTCAACTCGAAGCATTGAGCGCGTCATAGGTTGGACCTGGGCTTGCATGTCCAGACGAGGGAATTTTGCAACAAGGTCACATACTGTCCGGCCGGCTTTTGGTACACCAAGGAGCTCGCCCATCCTGGGCGGGTCAAGATCGAAATAGCTTGACCATGGAACATCTTTCTTTTCGGCCTTTTGGATGATTTCACGGGGACAAGTTGGGAATTGACGGAGAGGGGACATCGTTGGCCACATTCGCTTTTCCGCCATTTTGCACAAGTCGAGAGCCGTTTTAGCCACAGAAGACCACCCTTTTCTAAGAGTAATTTCGAAAATTGCGCGAAGGATACGACCAGCAGACTGTGTAACATATACCATGTCTGCCATGAGAGCGAGTCCTTCAAGCTTCAAGCGAGATATGAAAGCTTGTAGGAGGACATTGATCTTTGCGTGTGGCTCTTCAATACCCTCCTTTACGGGAATAGGAACGCGGCCAAGCAACTTCGCCAGCTCTAGTTTCTCGTCTTGACGAACCGGGATATACTTGAACTCATCGCTCAAGGAAAATATACGGAAAAGGTCAATTGCTGAAATCATCGGCTGCAGATGGCGGTTGTATGTGAGCATGGAGCTGTGAGTTATATAATAATGGGAGGCAATCCTGCCTAATTCCGTCGATTGAAGCTTTCCGCTCTGTTTGTCGTACTTGATGAGGCCAGCATTTCCGAGCACAGTGGCTGCCGAATGTATTAAATCCACACGTCTTTGCTCAAGAGCCTCGTCGTTTTCATAGTCTGCGCCAACGCTATAGAGACCAGGAGAGCGTATCATTCTCACAAATAAGTAAGTATATCCCAACCATTCAACTCCCTCGTCACGGTTACGGATATTGCCCAGCACAACTTCGGCATTCAAGTTGTCAGCAAGTTTGCTCATCAACTGACTTTCGATCGGAAGCTGCTGGTTCAACAATGAGAGATAATACTGTAACTCTGCTTGGGTAGTGATGATAATGCCTTCACCGAACGAATCATACTGAGGACGGCCGGCTCTTCCCAGCATCTGCAGCACATCTTGAGGGCTTAATTCAACCCAACTGCCCTTCTCTGGGGAATAAACTTGAGTTCCTTTGATGATAACCGTATGAGCAGGAAGGTTAACACCCCACGCCAATGTTGCGGTACAAACCAGGACCTGCAAGCTGCCATCTGCGAAAAGGTCCTCAACAGATGTTCGATCAGCCTTGCTCATACCAGCGTGATGGATACCAAAGCCATACGGCATCAAGTCTTTCAGTGACGGGTCATTGACGCTTTCAGCTTCTTCCGATAAAATAGCCCGGCTGGCCGCATCACTGCGCAGAATCTGGCCAATGGTTTCCATTTCGACTGCTTTATCCCTTATGTATCTGGCAGTTTTCGCGGTATCTTTCCTTGAGTGGACGAATATTAACATTTGGTTTTTGTTGGTTCCAACCTGCTCAAGCACTTTGGTGTAACAAACATCATTCATTGTTTTCAGCTGTTTGATAGCTTTCTTCTCCGTTACTCCAATGAATTCTTGCTTTAATGGGCATGGCCTATACGAGCCATCAAAATGAAAGAGGCCATTGATGGGATCAACACGGAGGAAGCTGCCGACGTCGCGGTAGTTTGGCAAAGTAGCACTAAGCCCGACCAAACGGACAGGGTCTCCAGTTTGTTCGGTCCGTCGAATTGTTCGGCTGACTATGCTTTCGAGAACCGGGCCCCTTTCGTCGTGGAGCAAGTGGATTTCATCGATAATGATCAGCCTCACTAGCCTCGTGTAGCTAGTATCCGTGGCCTTTCGAGTGATAATATCCCACTTCTCTGGTGTGGTAACGATGACTTGAGTGTCCGCAATTTGTTGTTTTGTTAATTGACGATCTCCTGTGAGCTCAGAGACCTTGATACCATAAGGTTCCAATCGCTTCCCAAAGTTGCCTACTTGTTCTTGAACCAATGCCTTCAGTGGTGCAACATAAACAATTTTGAAATCATCAAGCATGATTTCACCTGTATTCGGGTTTCGATTTTTGCCAATTTCTCGCAACATGGTAAGCATCGCAACATTCGTTTTTCCCGAGCCGGTTGGCGCGCAAACAAGCATGTTGCCGTCTCCATGGAAAGCTGTGGGAAAGCACTTGGTCTGGATACGATTCAACTGTTTGGCGCTCCCAAAGCCAATACGTGCCCAGTCTGGAAGCTCCGAAGTTGGGATGTTTGGCTCATCGGCGGTATCTTTCCTTGCTTTTGGGGCGGGCACATGAATTTCTTCATATCCTTTGAATGTTCTTTTCGTTGACCCTTGCGGAAGCTTCACGTTCGGGTTTGTCATTAAATGATTGCCCTGGTCAAAAACCAAGTCTTCGAGGTTAATCAGCCTCTTAGGATGAAGCCCGCCTGTCAACCCGCTATCGTCTTGTTTCACCTTCAACTCTTCTGGCTTTTTGTCCGACGGTACGTCAATATCCATTAGGTCTACCTTGATCTTTTTTGCAGACCTTTCAGTTTCTTCGTCTTTCCCTCGAAGTAGGTCCAAAATGGATCGATGACCAGCTTCTATCATTTCATTTTCGACAAGGTGTCTAGCATCGGCATCCTCTGCGACTCTCCTCCATTTGGTGACCCAGACTATCCTGTCTCGATTGACTACCAGCTTCCCCACCAAATCCGGGTAATCGTAATCAAAAAGATCCATTAAGTCGTTCTCAACTTCTCGTAACGGTTTGCCTGTCCCGTCGTCGGATACGTCGCTCATAATTCTGAAAGCTTCTTGAGCTTTTTGATGTTGAACGTGGGCATCAGCGTAGACCTGTCCGATCTGCCTTTGAAGCCAATAAGCATCGATCTCCCGCACAGGTACTTGCCTCGCGGCAGCTTTCGTGTTTGTCCCCGTCGATAACTGAGCGCCCCCGTCTAAGATCATTTGTTCCGAGCCCAACTCATCGCCAGCTCCGTCCGCCACAGGTCTGGGCACCGGTGCGTCTGGTTCGTTATCCAGATCAGACGCCTGTTCTTCGTCTTCTTCTGATGCATCGTCGTCATCTCTGATTTCGAGTTCCCCTCTAAGACCCTCTTCTTCATCCTCCGATTCATCGAATACGACCGCCACCCCTTGTCGCTCATCTAATTCTTCACCGGCCTCGGCGCCGTCCAAGCCGGTTTTATTCTCCTCTTCATCTTGTGCATCGTAGTCGGTGATTTTTTTGCCTAGGTTTACCAGCTCGTTGAACTGTTTGGGACCCATAGACGAGCCCAAAAGGTCGTCGATTTCCTTCTTCTTATCAAAGTCCTTCATATTATCGTCCTTCAAGATCTCCAGTACAGCGTCAGCAGCACTTCGAACGACTTCGTGAGGTACATCGCCGAGGCTATTAGCCGTCATTGTGAGTATGAAGTTGTAGGTCTCTCTGGTCGCAGCAGTTCTGGGTCGATATTTAAGACCTTCGACAAGCGCATCGGCGGCGGATAGAATGCCCACTCCGCGAAGCTGAGCTGGGTCCCCTCTTTTCCTTTTTCTCTGTTCTCTCTGCAGGACATCTTGACCCTCTCTAATTGAGCCGCGCTCGATGTCTTTCAGCCCGGTTTGCTTTTTCGGCTTCGTCGCTTCAGGGATGGCCGCTCGGGTTCCCATATCTTTGATGTTGATCCGACCGGCCAGCGATTCTGGATCGCCCGTAACTTCATCTGTTCGGCGAGTAACAAAGCGTCTGTCAGCCTGGAGGACCAGGTTAGACATCGCCGAATATTTGTATTGCGACACATTGTTTGGATCCGCCATCTTTGCGGTCCGTCAAATGGACGCGTTGCAAAGATAAATATATCGAGATAGGTATCAACAATCTCCCAAACCAACGTAGACGGGAGAAAATGTCCACCTGCTGGATAACGCGTCTCAAATCCGGCGGTGAAGTTGTCGGCGCTCAATGGGTTCACAGAGAGCGAGCCGCAGTTGAAAAGCATCCAAACTGCACCATGCAGCGAAGGCGGAACCGAGTGGCAATAAAGGGCTGTTTAACTAGCTAGTTAGCTTAGTTTAGTTAGTTATGTAAGCAGGTACGCCATCACGTGCCTCAGTCGACCGTCTTCCCATAGACACTTCGACATCCATGAACCACCTGCCTCCAGGTCAACGACCGCCCCATTCCAGCATCCTGCGGATTGTGGATGATGAGCATTATAGCGCGTCATGCTCGAGCACTGAACTTGGCGCCGGTGCGACCACCTTTTTCGAATGCCATCTGGTTCGTTTTTGGACATCAGCCTGGCCGACGCCTCTTCCGGCAGTCATCATGGCGACCTGCGAAGAAGAAAGTCTCTGTCAAGCTCAAAGACCTCGCCCAAGGTCGCCTCGACACGGGCGAGAATCTCGTGCCATTAATAGATGACTCTCCACAGTACCCTTCTGTGATTCAGGGGGCTAGAAATAATATGCTGAAATTCAAAAACTGTGTTCTCTTGACACGGGTTGGAAGCTTTTATGAGGCAAGGAATCCATCCTCACCTTTTCAAGCGATGGAAAATCCGTCTAACATAGTCTGTAGTTGTATTTTGGGCAGGCCGAAGAGTTGGCCCCTCTCCTAAATTTGAAACTGGCATTCAAGAAAACAAGTGCAGGCACTGTACCAATGGCTGGGTTTCCTTTCTACCAACTAGACCGTTTCCTTAAAATTTTAGTTCAGGACCTACAGAAGTATGTCGCGATCAGTGAAGAATTTGCAAACAATCTTGCAGGCAAGGCCAGGTCAAATGGCCTGATGTTCAACCGCAAGGTAGCCAGAATTGTAACTCCAGGAACCCTTATCGACGAAAAATTCATGGATCATTATGAGCACAATTTTCTCCTTGCCTTATATATCAATACCGGCGACCAAGAAGCAAAATCAGTTGATACGACGATGCTCTCATCGGATGAACTATCCAGCTCAAGTGATCAATCTGTCGGCTTGTCATGGTTAGATCTATCTACGGGAGACTTCTTCACTCAGCATACGACTCGCTCAATGTTACCATCAGCGCTCGTAAGAATCGGCGCCAAGGAGGTCATGCTTGACGAAGGACTCGGGCATTCTCTCAGGCGAGAAATACAGAACTTAGTTGGCCAAGGTCATCGTCTGACATACTTCCCTCGCCCACATTCTATCAGACCTTTGTCGGCGTGGAGCGACAGCTTCGAATCCCCGATTTCACTAGATCTAGCTGCAACATTTTCTACGGAAGAGACTGCCGCTTGTCATGTGTTGTTGGAATACGTTCAAACTCAGATGCAAGGGATGGACGTGAAACTCCAGGCACCTCGTCGCAAGCACCTGGAGGATACCATGATCATCGATCGAAATAGTCTCAAGGGACTTGAAATTTTAGAAACCGCTCGGGACGGCTTAGGAAAAGGAAGCCTTTTGCATGCTGTTCGACGAACCTCGACCAAAAGTGGCGCGCGTCTTCTCCGGGATAGATTAAGTATGTACCAGCGACCTGCCCCTGGTGTTGCAATGTATGTCCGCACTTATTAACCGGACTGTGTAGCTTCACCTTCAGCATCTTTGTCAGTCATTGATCAACGCTTGGATCTTGTGTCCGGATTCGTCGAAGACCCTGATTTGCAAGAAAACATAACTCTGCTACTGAAACGAAGTTACGACTCCCAGAGACTAGTCCAGAAATTTTCTTTGGGGCGAGGAGACGCAGATGATCTTCTTTGTTTATCTCGGGCCATCGATGCATCGAGTCGAATAAAATCCGTTCTCTCAGAGCAGGTAGGCGACGACCGAGGAGAAAAAGCGCCGGATTCGATATCCCATCGGTGTGAAACTCTACGTTCAATGGTGTGTCGGCTTAATATGGATGGCCCTGAAGAGCTCTCAACGCGTATTTTGCAGACAATCGATGAGGAGGCGTTATTGCGAAAACAACGGATCGAAGAGCAAGATGCTGCAGACGCGGCAGCACTGGCCCATGAAGTTATTGCAACTGAAGGGTCGTTAGAAGACTTTGATTCCCTGCCCAAGCGGGTCAGATCACAGAAAACGGATAGATCCAGAGATTCGAAGGAATCGGAAACCGATGAATCAAATACTTGGATCATGCGGCGTCACGCAAGTTTCACGTTGCAACAACTACACAAATCTCTAGAATCATTATACCAGGAGAAGACATCCTTAACAGAAAAGCTGCGAAGTGATGCAAAGACGACGAATCTGAGCCTAAAGTGGACTCCCGGATTGGGTCACATTGTGCATATAAAAGGGTCGAAAGCCATGTCGCAATGTCTGGATGCCCTTGGAGTTACCCGCACAGTTGCATCCTCAAAATCAACTCGCTCGTTTCACTTACCATCTTGGACAAACCTTGGCGCTCGAATTGACGAAATGAAACTTCAAATTCGCTCTGAAGAGCAGCTTATCTTCAAGAGTTTGAGGCAAGCAGTCATTCGAAACCTGGTGAAGCTTCGCCGGAATTCTGCAGTCTTAGACGAGCTCGACGTGGCATGCTCGTTTGCTTTCTTGGCCCGAGAACAAGGCATGGTACGGCCAATTTTAAACATGGGATTTTCTCATAAGATTGTTGGTGGAAGACATCCAACTGTCAAACTTGGATTGGAAGAAAAAGGGCGGCCGTTCATAAATAATGATTGTTTCATCGGCGGCCAGGAGAGGATTTGGCTCATCACCGGTCCAAACATGGCGGGGAAAAGCACATTTTTACGACAGAATGCGTTAATAACCATACTCGCCCAAGTAGGCTCCTTTGTCCCTGCTGAGTACGCGGAGCTTGGAATAGTGGATCAAATATTCAGTCGCATAGGTGCTGCTGACGACCTCTTTCGGGACCAATCGACATTCATGGTTGAGATGTTGGAAACTGCCGCGATCTTAAAACATGCTTCGCAACGGTCGTTCGTGATAATGGATGAAGTTGGTCGAGGAACAGCACCTGAAGACGGAATTGCGATCGGGTTTGCATGCTTACAGCACTTACATGATGTTAGCAGATGCCGCACACTATTTGCCACCCATTTCCATTCACTAGCGGATATGACATCCGATTTTGGGAATTTGGGTCGCTATTGCACGGGTATTATCGAGGAATCCAATGGATCGTTCTCCTTTATCCATAAATTGGAACCAGGAGTGAATCGGAAATCTCATGCTCTCAAGGTTGCGCGTATTGCCGGTGTGCCGCAAAGTGTTATAGAGGTAGCGAGGACCGTCTTACACGACATGTCACCGATATTGTCGCAGCCGCGGATGGAAGAAAGCCAAACAAGCGCAACCGTCTTGGCCAGACAATGACACAGCAGGTTCTGCCCTTGAACTGCATACTCATTGTGGAAGTGTCCTTACAGTTGAATATTACAGGTCATTCCCCGTTTACTCGCAACGTCTGCGGATCTAAATTCGCCAAAAAGGGGACTCAGCTCAATAGCACTCGCCATGTCGGATATGGATACGGCAGGCTCTGAGAAATGTCAGACCGAATCAAGGCTGGTGACTGTTGAGATCAAATCAGATTTCCAAAGTGATCTAGTTTCCATTAAACCGTAAATCAATAAGAGGGTATTGATGCCATTGAGGAATCAGTATAAATGTTGACTTGATTCTCCAGGAAAAGATTAAGGATGTGTCTTAGGTGGTTCTCTGATCATGCTTGGGATAAAGACAGTGCTATCAATTGCACTGATTTGTCCTTGGATGACTCTAGATAAGAAGGTCTTAGAGACGATACCCCTTCGATTACATAGATAAATATAAGAGCTGTCAGAGCTTTGCCAGCTTCCCTAGATCCGCCTGCTTTTGCGCATGGCTTTCAATATTAATCGCGATTGAATCGAAGGAAACTAGTTGACAGTCGTCTTCTTCGATTCCGTTCATAAACTGCACCACAACAAAATCAATTCGCTTCTCTCCAAGAACTACCATCGGAGCATGCCATGTCCCAGCTGCGTATGTCACCGCCTGGCCGGGCTTCGCAACAAATGCTTGTAGGTTGGACAGGTCCGGAGGGTTTTGAATAGTAATTGAGTCTGAACAAGCACCCTTTGCCCTTAACGTACCCGCAGCAGTTTGACCAGTCAAGCTTGGCGCAACGATGACCAGGTATGTCGCCTCATCGTGGTCTGCGCTTTGAGAACGGCTGCTACTATCATTGCCTGGCCCAGTAGTGACATTCTGGGAGCTAGTTGATAGCGGTATAAACGTTTGCGAAGTATACGGATGCCTTTCCAGGAGCTGCACATCAAAAAAGGCCTTTGGCACAATGTCACTAGATCGCCGTAGGTTTCGGGGAAAGCATGAGAACAAACTCATACGCGGCGCTGCGGGGACACGGCCATTGTCGTAGAAATTCTGGACGGGCGAAACTGGGCTGTACTTTATGGCGAATCCCTGGTTCACAAGTGTTGGTTTCGTACGCCTAGAGGGCAAGGTCGAAAGATTGGATGGCGGAGCAATCAGGCCGCCGGGCAACGGGGAGCTGACAATAGTGCCATAAGGTGCAAACGCTTCATCTGTGAGGGGCGTTGTGGCCAGGATGGCCGTCTTCGGCGTAAACCTAAGGAAGGGATAATCCATCATGGTCATCTCACAGAGACTATGTAGGATTCGATGTTGAAGTCCGCGGTGTCCAGCCTGGCTTCAAGTCACACGAACCAGACCTCCGGGCTAACTACCTAACTCACGAGTGTAATAACTAGCCAGTTAAGGATGCAGAAATACACCTTTGGTCTTTCGTCCAACAAGCTCTAGCAAGTGCACAGCATCCCTCAAACTCGAGGAACTTCGTTAACTACTTGATACGCAGCAATCTACAGCTAGTTACTCGTTTTGGACTTTGACGACAACTTTGTTCGGCCCTCCGGCACCTTTGCTCTGATAATCCAATGCTTGCAGGACAGATTCAAAGCCGCCCTCTCCGATCAAGTCGTATGGACTAGGTTGAAGCTTTCCCTTTTCGAATAAAGCGACTAGGACTGGAATCCAACCCTCAATCAGCTTATTGATACGCTCGCCGTCTGGATTTCCTAGAGCACCGGCTTCCACGATTCGAGTTTTTCCGCCCTCAAAATCGGATATTCCGCTCCTATTATCAGATGAGTAAATGTGTGGACCAAAGATGTTCCCCATGGCGACTGAGCCTTACCAGGTGTTTGTGGACGAAAAGAGCTTTGGGCCCTGGGGGAGCTCTTTGAAAAGGGCCTTTGCAAAGGCGTCTCCGGTGGCAGCAGCATCAAAGACCCGGTGTATTTTGCCTTTGGTGAAACCCAATACAGTCTTCACTTGCTCAGAAATAGCTTCTTTATAGTTAAAAGCGACCTCTGCCCCCAGTTTCTTAACAAGCTATTGCGTGGCCTTTGGTTAATATATCGTGAGAATCGCTTTTATGGTTCATAAAACATACTTCAGCAGAACCCGCAGAGCAGGATGCAAGGACTTTATATCCGCAAATACGGAACAACTGAAGTCACATAGGTCAGCGGCTTGCTCCCTAGATCATATCGAGGTCCATTGACATACCTGGATTGCAAACTTGCCAACGCTAGTAGACCCTCCGAGGACAACGGCCCATTCGTCCTCCTCAAGCTTTTGCTCTTTCTCGTCTAGAACTTCTTGGAGTGTAGGAACTTTGACGTCAAGGCAATCAAACAAAGCGAGTGCGGCTGTCTGAATGAAAGGTGAGCTAACTTCTAGCAACAGTATTGCTTTTCGCCAGTTCCAGAATACTAACCTCCAAGCCCACGCCAACCGTTGCAGCTTCTAGAAGGCTTAGATTCTTGGGTTTAGGAATGGTGACATTTGCATCCATCAGAAACTTGACAAGTTCTGCAGATTAGCATTCTGCCCATTCCGTCCGTGGATAGAAGGGAACCTTGCGCTGCGAATATACATACGTATTGCTGACAGGTACCATGTCCTGGAGTCCCGAGACGAGTGCACCCGCAGACATGATCTCCGATTTTAAATTTGCCTGCGATATTACTTCCAACCTCGACCACAACACCGGCGGCATCAACTCCGGGAACAAGAGGCCAGTCGCGGACCAAGACTCCCATCGTTCGCATCATATGGTCCCTAAAGAAATATCTAGTGAGTAAACGGATAACCGCCAAAAAGAAGGGAGTGCCTTGTCCCTCATATTTCCAATATGCTGAATAGAACAGGAGAGAAGAATGCAAGGCAAAATATTACACTGGGTTGATGGCCGTGTAGATTGACTTGACTAGTATCTGATCGGGACCGGGCTTGAACACAGGCAGATCACTGGCCACTCTGAAAGGCTCGCCGACCTTTTCAGCAGTAATTCCATCCATGTTGAAGGTGACAAAATTAGGTAGAGAGATATCGAACAAGCATGAAGTTGTGCATCACTTTGCAACAAGGGCTGGTAGATGATCAGACCAGGAAGAATATTAGAAGAATTAGTCGCGGATGACCAAGGAGCAGGCCAAGGGCTCACTGATTCTCTGCGTTCGTTGTGGCTGCGTGTGGTTGAATACAACTATCCAACAAGAAGCTGAAATACATATGCACTCTTCGCGGGGTCTTGAGATAGTTAACTTCTTCCCAATGGAGTCATTCGCTTGCTGTTCAAACCCCATTGGACAGTCAGCTCGTATTTAAGATCGTTGGGCAGGGCCGATGACTGCAGCCGAATTATAAAGTAATCCTCTCCAAGCTTGCTATCAGCTGGAAAATGAATCCAATGCGGCTCAGACTATCATAAGGTTGGTCAAGTTAATGCCGGGCCTACGGAATTCCGGCATAGTTAGCATTTCACATGTGAGAACTTACTCTGTATGAAGTAACTACTTAGAGCTGGACATAATATCATACAATGGATGATCCTAAAGATCATATTCACAAGATATAAAATGCACTTGGTAGGAGGGTCAATGCCCATCGCCTGAAGTATGATCCAAGCATTGAGAGTCTCGTCGTTACAGGAAATGTATGTACATAGGATTTTAGGGAACTGGGGAGTATTTGTGAATGACACATACAACAATGCGTCTTCCAAAAAAAGGATTCCGAAAAATATATCACCTCGGGCCGCCCATGGCCACTATGCATGTATGAATGTCTAAAGCTAAAGGCTTCGGTTGTAATCGAAAACCAGAGTAAGGCTTAGGATAAGAAACGGGCCGAGATTGCCCGTCAAAGAGTCGAACATGGCAGCAAACGTAGCTGCTCTTATATCGAGCATTATTTGTTGCGGAGCAACAATGTCTCTATTGAATCCCATTTATCGCAATCGGAATAACTATTATGGGTGAATAAATAAGTATCAGATGTCTGAATCGGGGGGCCAGCATCAACGTATTGGAGGGGAAGTGAAACATACATATAGGTCATGCTGCTTCTTAGACTTGATTGGATAGCCTCTGGGTGCCAACGGAAAAGGTACATCACAAACGCCCAACTAAGACTCGCGAACGCGGGCCAAGCGTGGGCCTTGACCTTGTTTCGGGAGCTCGGTGATAGGAAAGCTGCTAAAGGATTCGGGTTTGGTTCTATCGAAAGCCTCGCTAACGCAAGGACAACACGCGCAAACACGTATATCACAATCTATAGAGTCGTGTCAGTTCGAGTTCAATTCATGCAAAAAGCCCAATTCTATCGGAGGGCTATGGTTCGGACCTGCTGGGTAACACTTGATCGCGACCGGCCGAAGACAACGTATCCTCCCAATAAGCCAGCAAAGAAGGAATCGTACTGCCCCTCCTTACCACCCTGTCCCAGATATCGCAAGCCCAACATTGACGACTTATATACCACAGCAAAGGTCGCCAGGTTCCGCGCATGTTGCCTCGTTGCCTTCAAGACGAGTCGAGCTTTTTCACGTAGACTACGGAATGAATAAAAGTCAATTCATGTCGTTCAATGCAGATGTTGGGTAAATAAACATACCTCCCTGACCGGAAAAGGAATATCATCCTAATTTTAAACTATTCAGCAACAAACCATAGCTAGACAGGCGTGGGAGAGTACCGTACACTAATGCATGGGGGAAGCGGACTTTACTTCCATAGACAGCGCCATTGCGGGCGCTCTTAAGAATGGCGAGTAAGGGAGCTAACTCTGGTTTCAAAGCAATCGTATTAAGTGCATCCTGAGAGAAGATGAGCTTATGATGCTCCAATATTGGTTGTGATGCGTACCCTTAGCGACTCCATTGTATAATTGCGCACCGGTGGCCCGGTCAGCCAGTTATCAAGTCCACAGGTACGAATTTAACCCGCAACCCGCTGCTGGTACGAATCTCTGACAGCTAGTTAACTACCCCGTAGTCGTGAATGTTATGAAGCGGGATATCCAATAATAACAGAAAAAGCCGGAAATCTCGTTCTCGTTGTGAAGAGTCCCATGGCATGCTTGTTCCGCTCGAGAGCCTGTGGCCGGGTCATGGTGATTGTCCCTCCTCGTCAAGTTCCTCGGCATGTGAGAAGTACCCAGCTAATCGGCGGTTCCAAAGCTTGGTAGCGCCGGATTAAGTTACTTCCTGCTCCGGCCGACGTCACTGGCATTTCACGTGACCGCCAGCTAGCTTGAGCTCACTGCCGCAATAGCCGCCGTTGCCGCGGCCTCGATATATAAAAGACCCGCGGACGAAAAGGAATGGGATATAATTCTATGTCATAAATGACACAAGGGAAAGCAGGCTCAAAAGTCCTCTACGCAACTCGCGGTTTGAAGACTATGAATTTTCATCAAGAAGCGAAAAGATGCCTTGATATTGCCAATATGAGATTGAAGCATTCCATAGTAGGCAAAACGGAAGAAAAAAGCGGACTTTTGACAGCAAGACCAACCCTCCCTTCTAACGCCGTGCTAAAAGGAAAATATCAACAATAATTCTCAGTCTGTTCTTGGTCTCTTGTTGGTCTCTTCCTCCGCTAGATCAACATCCATCATCTCGACGTCAGCATTTTCATCTTCCATATCATTTCTACGCTTAAGCCCTTTCATTTTTCTCGTTTGTAACCCGCTTAGGTCTTGACGACCAAGGTGGACTCGTCCAATCTTGTCGCCGATAGAATCCATACTGATGTTCTTCTTCGATTTCTCAGCATCTTGTGGCCGCTTTCCTTGCTTCATAGCCTCCTTCATCATGCTTTGATCAGCTTCTCGAATACGGCCTAACCTAAAATCGAATTTCGGGCCAATTTCGTCCAATTCAACTCGCGGAAGCTTCTGGCCGCTTTTTTTAGTCCGAATTCGGTACCACCGCAAATGAATAACAGGTGTTGTTCCTTCGCTTAGCTCATCGGCGGCAACCGTGAGCAAGTATTGTAATCCTTCGACATCGATTTTTGCTGTTTCCTCGATCTTGAAAATATCCAACAGCATGCTCTTGAGCATGGCAAACGTTGGCACGGTAGAGTCTGCCCATGCGCTACCAGCAAACAATATCATAGGCTTCATACCCAGACCGACATTTAGCTTTGTGTGAAATCCACTCCGGGCTGCAGCATCCTGCTCCATCTGCTCTTGCGTTCCAAGCAGCAATAGCTCACACATCTCCAAAACTTTCGCATCGAACACACGCACTAATGTAATGCAATTTGGTCGCTTTTTGTTACTACTACCCCATATAACGATGCCACATTCATTTTTTGTTGCTAAAAACTCCAAACTTTCAGTATTTTCAAATGGGTGAATATTTTCGTTCTTCTTGTGAAAAAGGATCGAGTGGGGTTGGGTGAGAGAATGAAAGGTTTTCAGTGCGGTTCGAAGAGGGAATGGACATTTTGGCCCATGGAGAAGGAGGACGCGTTTCGGCTGCTCAATAAGTTGCGGTTCTCGCGCCTTGAGGATTCGCGCAGTGCGTGGGTTTCGTGCTTTGCTGGATGTTGCGCAATCAGTCAGCTCATCTTTCCTAGCAGAGCAGGAGCAAAAATAATGGCAAAACATACACTTCTCTCAGCATCATTATGTCCCAAATTGTGTGTTGTGATGCTAATCAGTTGTGAACCACCATCGCATCTTCAAAATATCTGATTTCAGAGAAATCATTTTGAGTTTCAGCTGAAATGCAAACCTTGCAAACATTCAGGACCGCTGGTCTTCAACTCAGTGCTCCATCCTACCACTTGTAATTCACTGTATAGGCAATGTGCTATACTCTGTACTCTTAAGGACATTAGCATTAGCTGGATTACAGGGGTAAATGGAAGATGAGAATTTGCAAAATGTTCTAGTCATAGAACATCTTGATGACTCTCCTGATAACCTTTGCGTTATCAACATAACCATAATGCACCGTGCGCAAAGCTCTCTTACCAGAAATCGGCCTCTTTTCCATTTATAAGTTATTACAGAATCTTGTCTTTACAGTTAAATTCCTGTTTTGTCAATGCTAGAGATCCTCCTTCTGCAACACACTTGTGTCGTGATCTGAGACTCCTCCTGTTTTGCAATATTCACTAACTACAGCATCCCGAGATAACACCGGCGCTGATGAACTTTCCAGCTTATTTTGCAACTTTGGGTGTATGAACCAAAGAGACAAATCTCATGCTCTCAATTTTAAATAACCTAGCAAGCCAAAATTGGCCTTTATCTGTTGGAACGAGTGACTAAAATGTGGGATCCAGCCCTCTTGATACAGTCACAGCCTAACCAAGGAGAACATCAAAATCGACCTTGTTAGCTTCAACTACTTCTCCTCCTCATCCCTAAATTTCATTCTTGCTTGTCCTCACCCCGCTTTTCTTTTCGTTAATTCAACTTCTTTTGCGCTCCGACTGACGTGTATTGACCGTTGCAGGCATTTGGCTACAAGCCATATACGTAAGTATTCCCCAGAAGGATTTCAGCGACTGTTTGGATGACAGAAAACTTCGGGCACAAGCTAATTCAAAGGATAGTCGGATGGTTGCTACTTCGTGAGGATCAGCCCTGGGCATAGAAATGTTGATTCTTCAATTAACAGTGGTTTGGCTGGAGCTTCTTTTTGTATGCACTGAGCCTAATATGCCATCTCTGCGGTTTAGCTGACTTAACACCTAGGGAGTGACAAAAGGAGATTGTAAAGCAATCGGAGAGCGGTCCAAAGGAGGAACATTTGAAAGGGTGTGAATCTCAGCTCAGTTATTAAATCAAAGTGATTTCTGGATAAAAGTTTCCTAATTTTGGGTTAGGCGTTCGAGGGTATAAAATACAGGCCTTTGATAAACAAGAGGACATCTGTGGTAAGGCGAAAATAGTCACATTTTAGTTAAGCACTCATATCGTCTTTTAACTGATGATTGCGCAGTCATATTCTATCCCCGAGGGGACGTCATTTTCCGCCAATAGTGGCGGTCAGGGGAACAGCGACATCACTGTTATCGTTTCCTTCGATGGGCAACCGGGATTCGGAGGCAGGCCTCCGACAATTGGACAAGGCAGCAATGGCATCGAAGGACAGCTGGGGAGCGAAAAACAACAGGGTGGCCAAAGGCAGAAGGAAACGGGACAGCAAGGCACTGGGGAGGTGCCGAGCATTGATGAGCAACAGGACTTCGAACGGCAGCGACCCTCCATGGGAGCTAACGGTCCCGATGGTCAATGTCCCTGTACGTGTTCGTGCCCATCCGATGCATTCAGCCAACCACAGGGCCCAATAAGTAGCGGTGGTATCGGAGAAGCATCAACGTCAGAGTCAATTCTCGCGAGCTCCTCCGGGGCTGAAACTACAACGGCAATCGTTCCAATATCTCCGATCAATTCTGGGCTTGATATTCCCCCAGCGATAACATCTCCTATTCTAGCAACCCCCACTGAACCGTCGATACCTCTACCCGACCCCCCCGGAGTCTCAGAAACACTCGAATTGGAGTCACCGGCCCCAGTAAACTCAGCGGGCCCTAACCTTGCTGCACCTATGGAAACTCTGTCCCCTTCTATGAGCCCCAGCACGCTGTCTACGGCGCCCACATCGACTGATGAAACCAGTATTGAGACCAGCACACCAACATTGCCAGTATCTGAAGGGGAAATTGATATTGCCTCTCTGCAACTTCAAAGCACTTTGGTTTTTAGCCTGGGAGGATGACCATACTATTGTATGTATGAACCTTATGATACCGGCATCATCGTAGTTGGAACTTGTATTTATTCCGTCCCAGGTCGCGAACCTCGCATTTCGCACCAACAAATACTAATCCGGTCACTCTCACTGTTATCGTTCTGAAAAACCGATCAAATGCGGCGTATTTTTGAAATATATCATGTTTTCGTATTTCCAGGTTCCGTTGGCGAATTGTCCCCAAAATTTTCCAGCCTCGCCTTCTTTGCCCTTCGTTTCGACTCACGTTTAGACATCGGGATTTCCGATCCCAGTGTTCCTTCTCTATCGGACACCGTTCTTTTGACGCTATTGCCGGGCTTCAGTGGCTCAGTTCCAGTAACGACTTTTGTTTGCAAAGCTTTATCATTAGATATGTTCAGTTTCTCTCCCCCGAAAAGCACATCCACAGTCCCTCTCCAACTAGATCTTTTCATGCCTGCTAGGGCGACAACTCTCCGTGCCTCCTCGCATAATGCATCTTTTGCAGTCTCCTGGGACATTCCCCAGAGACACGCCAAATTTATTACATCCCAAGGAGCTCGGGCACCAAGAGCTTGTTTTGCTTCACTGGAAATGATAATGCCTCGGCCCCTTGTGGCGCGTACTAAAGCAATGGCATTGCTTATCAAATTCCTTCTGGCTTCCAGTCCACTTCCAGTCACTCCAGGGCCATAGCAGATTTCAAAACGCACGCCCCGAGAAATAGCAGCCGAAAGAGTCTTGAACTTAAAATGGAAAGGTAGACGAACGGAAAGGTCAAGGGATATGATATCGCAATCGAGGCTATTGCAGGCTTGTGTTAAGGACTTTTCGTTCGTTGGTCGTATGGCAAGAAGCGAATAGGACTGTGCTAGTGCAACAAGTCGTGGATTTTGCGACGGATCAGACACGGTGAGGTTGAGCCGGGTAAGCAGGGTTATGGACTTGGGTATATTCGTGGGCAAAGCTGGCGGTTTTTGATTTGGAGGGACTTTCGTCGAAATCGACTGGGATAACGCCACAGTGGTATAGCCCACTACGCAAGAGAAGACATTAGAGCCTTAAACCACATATAATCCACTGAGGTAGTAGACAAGGGCGCCTTACATTCAGCGAGGAAATGAAGTATATCCAGGGTATTTGGGTCGTTCGGGATGTATGGGATATTTAGATCGTAGAACATGTTGCGAATTTTGCAGCTTGAATAGTCGTCAAAACATTGTTGAGAGCTTCGCAAATCGTCATGAGGGTGACCTTGCGCCAAGACCGTGGGCAGCGAAACCTGCCTGTCAGGTGACAGTCAGTTCGGCGCTTACTAACGAACTTTGCTCAGTCAAAAGTCACGAATTCAATATTAGGTAATCTGCATCGGGGTTGCCCACTTACAGCTGTTCGCTCCCTGCGGAAAGGCCGACACGGGGAAGGAGTTCTATCTTTTACGCTTGTGACTTGATTGATTTCAAGGTCAACGCCTTGTAGCATTTTACATACCTCACAGCCCAAGTCCTGGTGCAACTCGCTTGGTCGTCTCGATTTGCCCAGCCGAGCCCATCCCTTTTCAACATCCCCACCAAAACGGCTCTCTTAGCACCTCATTATCGACATCCCAGCGCATCCAACGCGTATCATAGCCATGGCGCGTGTGTATGCGGATGTGAATCAACGTATGCCCAAGTCGTACTGGGATTATGACAGCGTCAATATCTCTTGGGGAGTCCTGGAGAACTATGAGGTTGTTCGAAAAATTGGTATCACCCCCGCAGCATTGATATCGTCCCTTTTATTGCCCTTGCGATTCATAGACCTGGCCTCGCATCCACTAATCGAAGTCTCTTGCTAGGTCGCGGGAAATACTCGGAAGTTTTTGAGGGAATCAACGTCGTCAATTACCAAAAATGCGTCATCAAGGTGTTGAAGCCAGTCAAAAAGAAGAAGATCAAGCGAGAGATCAAAATCTTGCAAAATTTGGCCGGAGGCCCCAATGTTGTCGCTTTACTAGATGTCGTTCGCGACAGTCAAAGCAAAACGCCCAGCTTAGTCTTCGAATATGTCAATAATACTGAATTTCGAACACTGTATCCTCGCTTCGTTGACTACGATGTGCGGTATTACATATATGAGTTGCTGAAAGCATTGGACTTCTGCCATAGCAAAGGAATAATGCACCGAGATGTTAAGCCACATAATGTCATGATTGATCATGAGCGGAGAAAGGCGAGTACTATTGCGCCATTTGACAAAATAAACCCGGACATGATACTGACTTTCTAATGCTACAGCTTCGGTTGATTGACTGGGGGCTAGCTGAATTCTATCATCAAGGCACTGAATACAATGTGCGGGTTGCGTCACGGTATTTCAAGGGGCCGGAGCTGCTGGTTGACTTTCAAGAATACGACTATTCCCTTGATATGTGGTCGCTCGGTGCCATGTTCGCCTCAATGATATTTAGGAAAGAGCCTTTCTTCCATGGCAGCAGCAACTCGGACCAGCTCGTAAAGATTGCCAAAGTTTTGGGGACCGACGGCCTTTTCGAATATCTCGATAAGTACGACATAGAATTGGATCCTCAGTACGACGAAATACTTTCACGGTACCCGAGGAAACCCTGGCAATCTTTCGTCAATCAAGAAAATCAGAGATTCGTCAGTAATGAAGCGATTGACTTTCTTGATAAGTTACTAAGATACGATCATGCCGTAAGTTCCCTTTACGCTTTCCCAGCCTTTGAAGTCCTTTCTAATATCTTAATATAGGAAAGGCTTACAGCTCAGGAGGCTATGGCTCACCCGTATTTTGCACCTGTGCGTGCAGCTGCCGCGCAACCTACCCAAAATTCAGGAGCTCCGTTTCACTCGTAGTACTTCGGCTAGAAGTCACCACAGTCCTCGTTTAGGAAGATGCTGCTAGGGAAATACTCGCGCTCGAAAATAAAGCGTTTCACAATACAAGATCATCATCATTATCTGGTTTGGATCGCAGATTACCGGGTCAATTTTTTAACACGCGGTCGAGTTGCGGGGAAACGATGCTCAAGTTAAACCCGTACTGAGGTACATACACACATACAAATTCTTTGGAATGCGGTTGGTATTTGATTGAGGCGAGCTGAAAATGCAGTCTTTCGGATTGATATAATCTTCGCGTGTATAATGACAGAACTACATCAATCACGTTATCCTATGTGTCATCATATGAGCATATCGTCGTGCTAAATGCCCCCATCACCAAAAATGCCGGTTCAGTCGCCGTTTAAATTAATATCATAACTTTATGGCATGGGTCCAGATTTGACCCGTGGTTGGAATTTTGTTGCATCAACCATCGTCTCCAAATTCCAGCGGGCATCAAAAAGGCACGTGATATGACTCAAGCCCCCTTCTGGCAGAGGTCCCCACATCATGATATTTCTTCTCCCTCCTCTCTCCCCGCTTCGTATGAAATCTCAACTTTGTAAGTTTAAAAGCCTGTAAAGCCCGGCGGTCTCACTGACTATTAATCCCTCACCAGGGTCTTTTATGTGCGAGCCCTATCCTTGATTTCTGTTGCGTAAAACCCAGGTCAAAATACTGATCAGACGACAATTTGCGCGCGCAGCGCGTTGGAGACTCGCTCCACAACCTCGATCGATCAGCATGTCCTCAGTTCCGGCGACTCAGGTCTCGGGTGAGCCTTTGACGAAAGCTACATGGTTCTCTGACATATGCAAGACTAATGCTTTGAGCTTAGGCCCTCGAGATGAATCGAATGTTCCCGCAACCGATCAGGGGAAAACGCCTGAAGGTCTTGGTTCTGCCGGCGCGGGACTACATCCTACAGGAAGGCCGAAAACCGAAAAAGAGCGTACGTTATGCTGCAACTAAGTTGTGGGATTTCCTATAATCGCCCGGATCTTCCTACGAGCTAGCTTTTATCCATTCGAAGGCACGGCTAATACTTTCTACCTATAGTTGAGAAAGAGCGCAAGAAGGCAGAGAAGCTGAAAAAATTCGCGGAAAAAAATGCTAAAAAGCCGATTGCGACGCCCAAGAACGCCGAGAAAAAGCCAAAAGTTGAGAAGGAGAAAACAACCGATGCTTATGATCCTTTGAAAATCGAGTCCGGAAGATACGAGTGGTGGGAAAAGAATGGCTTTTTTCAACCTGAATTCGGTCCGGATGGGAAAGTCAAGCCAAACGGCGCATTCGTGATGACACTACCTCCTCCTAACGTTACGGGGACGCTTCATGTGGGCCACGCATTAACTAACGCGCTTCAAGATACCATGATTCGGTGGCAACGTATGAAGGGGAAAACCGTTTTATGGCTCCCGGGATATGACCACGCTGGTATTTCTACGCAAAGCGTTGTAGAGAAAATTCTGTGGAAGTCCGAAAAGAAAACCCGTCATGATGTCGGCAGGCCGGCCTTGACAAATATGATTTGGGATTGGACGCATAAATATCATAAAAGTATCACTACTTCTATGAAGAATATGGGAGGATCTTTGGATTGGACAAGGGAGGCCTTCACGATGGATGAAAATCTCTCCGCCGCCGTCACGGAAACTTTTGTGAAGCTCCATGAAGAAGGTATTATATATCGAGCCAACAGGCTTGTAAATTGGTGTGTTGCTTTAAATACTTCTCTGTCGAACCTTGAGGTGGAAAATAAGGATCTGGAGGGGCGGACACTCCTCGATGTTCCAGGCTACGACAAAAAGATTGAATTTGGCGTTTTGACCCATTTTCTCTACGAAATTGATGGCACAGATGAGAAGATCCAAGTCGCAACGACGCGCCCTGAAACCATGCTTGGCGATACAGGAATTGCTGTTCATCCAGATGACAAGCGCTACCAAAAATATATTGGCAAATATGCTAAGCATCCCTTTGTGGATCGCTTACTCCGAATTGTTCCAGATGAAAAGGTCGACCCGGAATTCGGTACTGGGGTTGTCAAAATCACGCCGGCACATGACTTCAATGATTTCGTCCGAGGAAAAGAACACGATCTGGAGTTCATCTCAATTATGAACGATGATGGAACGTTTAATGATAATGCCGGTCCTTTCACGGGTATGAAGCGTTTTGATGCACGATACAAAGTGATCGACGCTTTAAAAGAAAAGGGGCTATATGTCAAATGGGAAAATAACCCTATGAAAGTTCCTCGTTGCACTAAATCCAACGACGTGATTGAACCAGTTTTAAAACCACAATGGTGGATGAAGATGAAGGAGCTCTGTGAACCTGCCATCAAGGCTGTCGAGAACGGCGATATTGTTATCCGTCCTGAAAGTGCCGAAAAGAATTACTATCGGTGGATGGCCAATATTACCGACTGGTGTCTGTCAAGACAGTTATGGTGGGGACATCAAGCGCCAGCTTACTTCGTCCAATTTGAGGGCGAGAAAGGTGATGATAGTGATGGAAATCTGTGGGTGACAGGTCGCACCGAAGAGGAAGCAATGGAGAAGGCGAAAACCAAATTCCCCGGAATGAAATTTACACTTGTACGAGACCCAGATGTGTTGGACACATGGTTTTCCTCGGGATTATGGCCGTTTTCCACTCTCGGTTGGCCGAAAAAGACACATGACTTGCAAAATCTCTACCCGACGTCCGTTTTGGAAACCGGATGGGACATTCTGTTCTTCTGGGTCGCCCGGATGATTATCCTTGGCATAAAAATGACAGGCCAAATTCCGTTCCGTGAAGTGTACTGTCATTCCTTGATTAGAGACTCGGAAGGAAGGAAAATGTCGAAGTCACTGGGTAATGTCGTCGACCCTCTTGATGTGATGCGAGGCATAACTTTGGAAGCACTACATCAAAAGTTGCTGGAGGGAAACCTTGCCCAAAAAGAAGTGGCTACTGCCACTAAATACCAGAAGAAAGCTTTCCCAAAAGGAATCCCAGAGTGCGGTGCTGATGCCCTACGGTTCTCGTTGGTGTCTTATACTACTGGCGGTATGTGCTCTTTTTATTTCCAATTCAATAGAGGAGAGTCATTTCTAATTTCATCCAAGGAGGCGATATCAATTTTGACATCCAGGTCATATATGGTTACCGAAGGTTCTGTAATAAGATTTATCAGGCTACCAAATTTGTTCTTGGTAAATTAGGCAGCGACTTCGTACCCCGTCCAGCCGCTGTCAAGACTGGCGCTGAATCGCTTTCCGAAAGATGGATTCTCCACAAATTCAATATCGCAGCAAAAATCGCAAATGATAAATTAGAACAACGTGAATTCTCGGATGCGGCATACGTACTATACCAGTACTGGTATAGTCAGCTTTGCGATGTTTTCATCGAAAATTCTAAGTATCTCCTGCAACAAGACTCTCCCACTGATGTGCAGCAATCCGCAAAACAAACTCTTTACACGGTTTTGGAGGGTGCGCTGACTCTGATCCACCCAATCATGCCTTTCGTGTCCGAGGAGCTGTGGCAACGATTACCGCGCCGCCCTGGTGATGAGACCGTGACAATTATGAAAGCATCTTACCCAGAGTACAACCCTACTTTTGATGACCCCGCTGCAGAAACTGCTTATGACTTGATCCTCGCTACTTCGAAAGCCATTCGAAGCATTTTATCCGAATACGAAATCAAAACAAAAGGGGACGTCAAGATTCAGACTTACGACGAATCAAGCCACAAGACCATCAGCGAAGAGGTTGCGAGCATCCAATCTTTGAGCGGGAAAAACATTGGAGAGATTACCGTTTTGGCACCCGATAATTCAATTCCCCCTCCTGGCTGTGTTGTCTCCTCTGTCGGAGCAAATGCGGCTGTATACCTCGAAGTTTCGAATGAGGTGCGACTGGAGCAGGAGGAAAAAGCCAAAGCTAATTTGGCCAAGGCTCTTGAAATTGTCAATAGACAGCGTGCAATTATGGATTCCCCAGCATGGCGAGAGAAAGCGAAACCAGAAGCAAGAGAAATGGAAGAGAAGAAGCTCAGAGACGCTCAGAGTGAAGCAGCCAGGTTTGAAGAGCAGATCAAAGACTTGGAAAAGCTAAAGATATAAAGGAGGTAGTCAGCTATGTAAGAAGACTCTCAGACACAATCGAATAGTTCTTGATCAAGACTTAGACGGAGATAGGCGGTCACGTGTATAATTTATTACCTAAGCAGACTAAACCCGAAGCAGTTTGGCAAACCTCGCTGCCCAGCTCTTCCAACCAGCAAATTCAAACATCAAACGCCAACATCTCAAACACAGCAAACCTGACAAACAACACCTCTGCTTCGGCACATACAAGACGGACTGAAGCAAGTCGAGAAGGCAATCAAGGATCCTTGCCGCATAGTAATTTCAAAAACTGTACTGGAGAGCAATAAGAATCGCCGGTAAGCCTCTCAAGCTTCGGACGGTACAATATTGCCACTGTGTGCTGACATTTGGAATTCCGGTCACAGCAGTTCGAGCTCGAGCGCATCGGAATGAAATTCTTTAGGACGTGCGATTGAATCCGACTCTACACAATAAGCCCGATGACGTCCTCGGCGCAAGCGCATTCGAACAGTCTAGTTTCGCACCATCCACCACACCAGAATCAAATCGCTGGGAACACGCCGCATCCTGCAAGCACCGCTCATGAGTTAGCAGCCACAGCAAACGCAGCACCATATACAACGGAAAACCACTTAGCAGGGCTAGTTGAAGCCGCTACTGCTGCTGCTGGACAGAACGTGGGATGGGCGCAACCTGAGGACGGTGAAAACACAATGGCGGGAGAAACACGTACGCTGCAAGCTCAGCTTGATGGCTATGCAGTTGGCATGCAGCTGGACGATGGATTTGGCCACCAGGGAAATGCATCGAACCCCCATTTCATTCTTTCTGGTCCCGGTGGGCAACCAACCCCCAATGGTAATAGACCATTGGCCCCTGCGACAGACCCAGTGTCTTCATCAGAAGGAAACCCCTCCGGCCGTAAGCGCAAACGGGGTAATCCAAATGTGGACCCAGCTATCACAGGAAATCCGACATTCGTGACCAACGATGGCAATGGTGGCGACCACGGGTCAGCAAACGCAGGTGGAATAGCCATCAGAGACCTTCCACCCCAGCAGGCCATTTCCAATGCACGAGCGGCTGGAGTGCATTCTGCTGTCGCACTCTTTCGACAGCCTTCAGCAACGAGTAAAAAGTATACCCGCCCTCCAATGTCGAAACTTTTCGCATCGTTGGAACTGTCCCCTGAAAATTTTCTCCACCTGCAAGCCGCTGCTAAAGCTTACATGCTCGACGATAACCACCCTGAACGGCGCGATTGCGTTGGCCAGCGTGGCAAAGGAGATACAGAAATGGTAAGGCTGAGACTTTGGAACTGTGTTAGCGAGTTTCTGGACAAGGAAGGGAACGGGTCACGATTTTTCGGAGAAAATGTTACCAGTGAGGGCATGGGGCCCCGCCAAATGATTTGGCCGCGAGACGACCAAAAGATAATATCTTTAATGATGCCCCTCCTTAGACGGATGGTAACAAATGAACGCCAGCGCCAATACGCAATTGAGACGAGAAAAGGCGGTGGTTCGGAGGACAAAAAGCGAAAGCAAGGAGAGCACGGAGCGCCAAGTACAACGCCCTCTGCACACCCAGTTCAATTCGAACAGTCGCCCGACACTGGCATTGGGATGCTTGACCTTCTAGCTAGTGGATATCCCTCAGATTGGGAGTCAATCACACATTCCTACAACTCTTACAATCAAGATTACCAGTTAGATAACCTTGGTGTTATATCTGGACTCCCTCAGCCAGATTGGCTGGGGCTTGTGGCTGCTGTTGATTGCCATTACCAGATTGATCATCATGGAAACGGCGCAGAGTGCGATCGGGCTTGCCAAGATGACATGGTCAACCACATTGTATCAGCAGACAGCGTTTCACACGCAAACTGGCGAATTGGTGGACAAGGTGATAACCTTGCGGCACGGACTTATTTGTAAGTTTCCTTTGGGTTGTATGCCGCGTCGAGCTATGTTAGATCATGGAACTAACGCCCTCTCTCACTCCTCAGTGCGTCTGGGATAACTCGGGATGTATCAGACATCATCAAAGGGAGTCTTACCAATCGCTCCCACCATGACCCGAAGCTGACGCCTTCGGCGACATTTTCAGAGCGAACTTCCGAACCTTTCTCTCAGGCACAGCCGGGATTAACCACACTCGCACCAGCCGCCCATTCTATCCAGGCTCCAAAGCAAGGTGAAATGAAAATCTCGAGTTCAGTGAAGCTTCTAATTAACATTGTGCAAAATGGGGACGATAAACGTGTGCTGCCTCGCCTCGAGCTCCCATGCAATCCCAATGCTGGATTCTCAATGCTTTTAAAAAATGTACAGCAATATTACCAGCAGCATCAACAGTCTCTCGCTCCTCAAATGCTGCCCAATCTCCATGTAAAAGTGTGGCTTAAAGACGGCTTGACTCCTGTCACAAACGATGAGGAATGGATTGCTTCTTTGATGGCGGCGCATATGGTGGATTGGATGGACGGGGAGCTGCGGATCATCATTGATGCAGGTGGCGGCAACGTTTAATACTTGGCCTTGTGGCCTGTGCACAATCGTTAGTACTGGTGATCAAAAATACCTTTGGCGACAACTTCATAACTATGATTTTAATTATATCGACCTTGGTGTTGAAAATTCATTAGGACTTTGAAAGTTAGGGTTTTGTGGGCAACAATTCAAGGGCTTTGACTATCACTGGAAAATGCCATTGCTTAATGATTCCAATTATTACACTGCACTGTTAACTATCATCCAGTTTAGATCGTACCCTTTCAAGTTTTAATCTTTCATATTTTGCAAAAGCCAGACCTTGTGGACAGTGCCCCAACGCCAAGAAACCCAGCAAGGCCCAAAGTCTAAGCCCATTCCTTGTCCTAGGGTGAGAAAATAGGAGACAAGAACTTTACCCGGGTAGGACTAAGCAGCTGACGGGTGGTTAAGTCAGGAATTGCATTGTGAAATGCAAGTCATCTTCTGTTGCATACATACAAGAAAAGGTAACAGCCACCATGTATGAAAAGCACGTCAATTACCAGGGCGACAAGTGTCATCCCAGTTGCTTGCATCCAATTAACCCACGAGGGTTCAACCATTTGCGTGTTATGAGTGCCCGTAAAGTTCAGTTCTGTCCGCTTTGGCATCACACAAAAACTGCAATGGATATGGTGTCTAAACATACAAGGAGGGATCAATTACATACTAAACCAAAACTCTGCAAAGGGGTATAGTTCAGTATAGTCGCTCACATATCCACTTGTTGACAGTTGATAAGTGAGACAGTCAAGCCGAAATCACTTTATAAAGTCTCATGATTCAAGCATCAAAGTATACTGAAATCAAGAGGGTGGCATATTGTATACATTGAGTGATTCCCGTAACCCAGTTTTAATATCAGCAAAAATGGAAAAGAAAAGTGATACTAAAGGGGGTGATAAGGGGGAAAGCATATTATTCTTCCAAATCTTCCACTGTAGCAGCCCTTGATTTTCCTTTAATAGCTTCCGGATCGGGGGCCGAGGATAAGGAGTCGTCAGCATCACTAGGAGATCGTTGCGGTGAGCTTTTGGGAAAGGTATTCTGTGATTCTAACATGGTGGTGTTGTCGATATTCCTGTCCTGTTTGATTTCAGTCCAATCTAGTGGCGGAGATGCTGATTGGCTCCGCAAGTCTTGATCCGGAGGTCGTATTGTGTTCTTCGCGATTCCATTATTGAAACTGGTCTGTCCCTCCCGGCCAAAATGACTTGTCAGGGAGCTGCCAGTTGGATGTAAAGGCCCACCATCAAAAATTACTTGTGGCAAGCCTGAGGATAGTTGTGAACTTGAAGAAGCTGGTATCGAAGTTGTAGGTTGGTGGGGGGAAGAAAGATTGTTAAATGGCGAGTTCAAACCTTGGGTTTGAGAGTGGGCGGTTTGCAAGGGAAGCAACGTCCACCCAGGGGGCAATCTGACACCCTCGGGCAAGGGGTTCTCCACAGAGCTCGGGTTGACAGGATGTGTGTTGGGCGCAAGGTGTTGTTGGAAATCAAGTGGGTTCGGGTTTGATGGGCCTGAAAGGATAGGATTGTGAGGGACTGAAAGACCAGTTGAGCGATTTGAACTGATAGAGCGAAGCCGAGCCAGCTCGGCTTGGAGTAACCTCACAACCTGGAGCTGATCAGAGGCTGCGAAAAGCGAATTGATTTCCTGGTTGATCTGCTGTTCAAGATGAAAGATTTGGTTCTGGATGGTGGCGCTAGTGAACCCTGAGCTCAGCGGAGTAGGATGTGCGAAACCGGGATTGGGGGCTGCGGGTTGCCGGTTTGTCTCTGGCAGATTTGGACGAGTCCCTCGGTTAGCAGGCGTTTGAGCAGCATTTAGTTGCTGAGCCATGTCTTGAAACTGATCTCCTCGTCCAGCACCAAACCCAACACGAAGTGGACCAAGATTAACCACCCACGCCCTGGGCCTTCCACCCGGATCGAGGCCATTCTCACCGTGACGCTGATTGGCCCTTGCGGCTGCATTCTCACTTTCATGGCCATGGCCTCTTCCGGCTATGGTTACCGGGCGTCTACAGGTGGGACAGTTTTGCTGGCGCTCGAGCCAACTACGCAGACATGCAAAGTGAAGTAAATGCCCACAAGGCAGTTTCTTGGGACGTAGTCGCTCAGACACTCTCCCAGCAGTACGGCTTGGAGGAGGGTGATCATTCGCAGCCCCAGGCGGCTGCCAGGGTTGCATTTCTTCTCTGCATATTATGCAAACATCTTCTCGAGCGATTTCGTCTGCGGTGGCATCTGGATATCGTTGGTTCATATCCCTTGTCGCATTCCGATAACGTATGAAATCCAAGATGCGTTTTGTAAATGACCTCATTGTCAATACGACATCCCTTAGTATATGTATTGGCAAACCGTAAAATGTGAAGAGGATGGCGAAGAAGGAAAGGTAAACAATGAGTTTAAAAAAATCTTTCTCCATGTTAGCGACCCAGTCGTTTCACGCAGAGAAAGGAAGCCCGGCCTTACCAGTAACAAGATCAAGGTAGAAAATGCAACGCCCTTTTTCTTCCCATCCTGGAACATCCAACTCCATTTCTTCAAGATCATCTTCGTTGGGCAGATCCACAGGAGGTTCTGCGCCGGTGGCCTGACATGTCCGCAAAATCTCTTCTCTCGAAGCGCGTATTTCAGCTCTTCTCTCAATTCGCCTAGCCCGCTTTTGCTGGCGGACGATGTAGATTTCGGCAAGAGAAAGTGCGTACCGAGCCGTGGTCGACGTTGATAATATTGTAAGAACCGCAAACTCAAACCCGAACGTCACCATCATATCCGGTCTAGCTTGGCGGAGTACAGTTTTTACTGCATATTCAAGCATAAAAGTGTTGAAAAATACAGCCAAAAGGAGTGATATCGCCAACCGCGTGTGGAAAAGGCGGGGGTTACTTGGGGGCTGTTGTTCGAGAATCTCTACTCGACCTTCTCCAATCCAACCCCAAACCTTTCCGACGAGAAGGCAGACAAACATGACGACAAACCAGCCACCCAATTCTCCTCGAAAAATAGTCATTGCGAGACATGTCTCCGTCACAGCAAACCAGGCTTTCTCATAAAGCTGTTCTGTTTCGATGGGTCGTAAGCGGCCATACAGGAGCCTTTGGAGACCGAATAGGAGGAAGCCGACTATGAGAAGGCATAGATTTGTGAGAATCTGGGAGATACACACACAATCAGCACACTGGAAAGCTAACGTCTGCAGAGGAAGGGTCACCATAAGGTTTGCATTGCTCTGTGAAAGGAAAACGCAAGCGGAGTAGAAATTAGACCGCTGGTGTAGTGCTTTTAATACTACAGTAGCAGCAAGGGCAAGGGAGACCTGATCGAACAAGTTTAGCAGAAGAACAGACAAGCTATTTCTGGACAATGCAGTCTTACCCCCGCATATGCAGCGAATCTCATCATTGCGACCGACGAGGACCGCCACCAGCTTAGGGAGCTCACATAAGCTCAGATTGTTAATTTAAACGCAAATCCATGGGCGGATAGAGAAGAGAATCCGAAGGGCAGTTTGAGATTCAGGCGTTGCAGATGCCACCTTTGATCAAGCAAGTCAAGTGTCTCGGCTGACGAATAGTCTTGGTTATGTAAAACAGTTAAATTACCTAAGCAAGCGCCCCGTAGCTATTCCGTAACTAGTTAGCTAACGAGTTACTCAGATTAGTCAGACAATCAACCCAGACCTCGTCTGTCATGCAACAACAGCTCTGGGCCTCTGGCAAACACGGATGGTTCTCATGCGGTGGCGGCCAGGCTGGGTGCCTGTATGTATGTATGAACATACCGACATTACTAGCAAGAGTTGCATCAACAGCAAATATTGTTTGCTCATTGCTGACGGCAATTTCTGAGTCGCTGCAACGCCGACTGCAGCCAAGGGAAGACCAACCAACAGCCAACCTTATTCTAACAATTTCTGAAGAATATATGAAGAATGTGGATTCGACAAGACCAGGATGGCGATTCTGAAGCTGTGTTCAGATCAAGGATTGGAAGGAATATTAATTTGTTTGCTATCTTGCAGCCACTAGCAAACTGCAACAACAACAACCAGTCAGAGCAAAAAAAAAAAAAAAAAAGGGAAGAATACAATCTACTCGGTACTCCGGAGTGGTTATGGGATTCTCATACCAGTCGTCGAACCGCCCCACAATAAATTACTGCACCAAAGATGCATAGAAGCCTTCTAGAACAACTGATTGAAATACACTGTTGGATTCGATTGCTTGAGACGCGATTTCAGGGACATGAGTGGCCTTCTGTTTGACCTGGTGGACCGGAAATGGCCATCCACGGGATCCTACAGCCCGGCATCCTACTGCATCTCAAACCTTCCAATGCGCGCCTCGCCTAGAAATTTTGATGCATGATGCCTTTGGACGCATGGCCTGGTTTATTGGAATCGTGAATTCCATCCCCTCATCGAAATGAGCTTTGTACTCTGGGAGACAACCTTGGGTTGTATGGGGACGCTATTGGCAACTTGCAATTTGATACCCCATTATTTGATCACGGTTATCGAATGCTCCTCAAAGGACATAACACATGTTTACTAGAGGAGCCTGGGTTCAGTAAATAATCCGCTTTAGTCTCGCTTCGCATATCCTTTTGGTTGATTTCGGCCAGGGCGAAAAGCGATACGACTTTGAGATCTTGCCAAACTTACCCGCATCATGCAGGTACCCTTAGGATTCTGACGACAACGTGAAGCAGCGGGTTTCATCTGAGACCGCAGCAAAGCGGCACCGTAAGGCTGTCGCGTGGGGATCTACGGCTTTCTTTACCTAGACGCGAGAATGGGCACGTGGATTCGAATTGCACAGAAACTGAAAACGTGTGTTTTCTTTTTCGGGGACCCGACTGGCCACATTCCAGTGCATCGATATATGACCGCGCTCCCAGGACGATAAAGAAATCTAAAGTTAGATGTTTCTTAATAGTCTCTTCCAGATAATCCAACGTGTGCTAGGGGAGAAAGTTGGCATTTCAGAAAGGGTGATAATAGACCTTGAACGTGAGTCGGCGAGGCTTTGCATTATAGAGAAATATACTGATACCTGGCACAGTAAACTACCCTCCATAGCCGATCTTCGACTAGCCGGCTTCGCGATTCTGTGGGTATTGCAACGAGCTCTGGGACCTCGTCACACATTCAAAAGGATCGGAGGTGCATCGCTGTTATTACGATCGTGTGTCTCGTTATCCGCAGAGTATATTCAAACCTGGGTTCCCGCAACATGACCCTCATCAAATAGATATTCAGTTGAATGCCTTGATGGTTATCGGCGGTGCAAACAACCTAGGTGGGAAACTACCAGATCGGATTTGAACCTTGATTGGGGCAACAATAACCAGCCCAAAAGCCCCGTATATTCACCGAGCATCTCATTCAATATGTGGTTAAACATACAGAAACACGAGTCCGGCCGGCCCAACCCTGCCGAAACAGAACGTCAACATCCATTGGGATATACATATATTAGTTCTGAGGGAAACGATGGACGAAAGCTCGTCCCGATGCGACTAAGTGGCGACAATAGAAGCAATGCTAATGGCGAGAGTATTCAAGGTCAACTATGGCAACAAGTGCCTGACGTTTCTCTACCAACAACCACTGCGCAGGACTTGTGGGGAGCGTTTGCAGGTTCCGATTTGAACCATTGGAATGACCCTTTTATGGCGAATGCTCGAAGCGTATATTTTCCACAAGAAGTTGTGCGTGCGCCTATTCAGCACCAAGGAGGAGGAAATTTTATAGCTAGTTCCAACGAAACAACTATGTCTGGATTAACAAAGGCTGATATGGGAACTTTTAACGGTAACCAGACCGACCATTCAGCTGTTGAGACCAAACGCAGGTCGCAGGAGGGCATTGATCTCACAACACATTCAGCAGGGCCTAAATGTAGTGGGCCAATGTTGACGGGCTGCCTTAATCAAATCAATCACCTTGACCGTCAAGACATGACAAATTTGAGGATGTATAACTGGGGGTGCAATGCAACAACAAATGTCCGAACCTTGGGCCATAATCATGATGGCTTGCAATACGACTTTAACCCGTCGATTGACACACCCTTTCAAGACAGAAATCTGATGGTTCCACGTATCATAGCTCCAGCTGCAGCTCGTTGTTTTCGCCTGAGTTTTCC